TGGTGTCAATCAAAGCAAGCGAAGGACATCAATGTGTGTTGCTTATTGGCAGATGTTGATTGTTTTTTTGTAGTGGCATGCAGATTTGAAGGCCCTTTTGTGGTGTTTGGGCCTTTCTAGCTTAAGGTAAGGTAGTGAAATTCCTCACTGAGGAAAGCTGTTGCCCTTTTGTGTGGCAGGAAGAATGCCATCTGAGGGGTTAAACAACCCATGGTGTCCCCAAACACACTTACAAAAGGAGTGCATAGGAGTTGTTTTAAACAATAGCAAAAAAAAATAACCCATGACAAAGAAAAAGAATCCCTCCATAATTAATCTGCCCAGGACAACAACCATCAATATTTTGGTGTGTTTTGCTTTTCTAGCGTCTGGTGTGGATTTTTTGAGGTCAGGAATCATTCCTCTTATACAATTTTGCGTCCTGTTTTGTTTGACTCTGTTTGCTTAGAATTTGTCAGATATATTTTAGCATGTCATCAAAAATCCTTCTGACATATAATTCATAGCAGCTGCATGACAGTCTATCTTTCGGATGGTCCAGAATTTATTTAAACAATCCCCTGGTGCTGTCTTCATTTTTAACCACAACATGTCAACATGTTTTCTTTTCCCTTTGAGTGATTTTTCTAAACAGGGAATGAGCAGGTCAAAGGATATGAACAAATTCTACAAGTTTCTTCCTCTTTGTAAAGATAAAATTATTACCTTCCCTGATTGCAATATAGGAGAACTGTAAACAAACTACTGTGACATTTAAAGAAGGAAACAAAGTCACCACCAGTTTGTCTTTATATACACATATAATTAGCCTTTTCCTCCTGTTTTCTTCCATCATTCCTTTCTTCCAAGAAGGAAAATGGAATCACATCACAAAACAATATTGGTCTGCAATTTTCTTTTTACAGCTGGAAATGCACTATGGACGTGGTAGATATAACGGTTTTAAGGATCGTGGTGTAGTTAGGTCAAATTGATGCCAGAAAGACCAATGCTCTCAACAGGGTGTGAAGTGCCACTTCCTCCTGCCTTTACCATCATCCTTGCTGTTTAGTGGAAATGGGCGCGACTTTTCTTTGTCAGGGTTTGTGCATCTGTGACGTTTGGTGGTGCTTTTCTTTGCATTGTGTTTCCTCTTGCAGCTTGTCTGTTTTAATTGCTGTCATCCTATTTGTCCAATGATTCTTTTAGGGGTTCTTCACATCATACGGAGCTTGGTTCTTCTTTTTTCATTATTATGAATTGTTTTTCTTGTTTTGTGTTTGTCTCTTAGTTTTATTTGTTTTAAAATATTATTCAAACTCTTTTTTTTTCTGTCCTTATGTTATCTTTCTATTGTTTTCAAATGCAGGCCATGCTTTCCCCTAGGCTCACACTGACACTTCATTTTCTCTTTTTGATTTTTATTTTAATCTGGAATAGACTGTGGAACATAGGGAAGGTCAGGATTTACATTTGGATACTTTCTCCAACTATTCAACTTTGACTGCTAAATTATCACAGCTCTTGTATCACAGAGCATTGTTACATATGTAAAGATGGGTTTTTGAAGACACCTTCCTTTCTAGGTTGCAAGTTTCATCAGTCAGGCAAATTCACTCTTGTTACGTTGGCTTATCACATGCTGTTCTCTCTTCCACCTAAAGAAACACAGGGAAGAGAAAGCGAATGGGACTCACTAGGGAAAACAGGAAGCCAGCCCATTTTAACCTCACCAGAATTTGTTCTCCTCTTCCTACAATGCTACAGATATGAATAAAATATTATAAACTGTGCCTGAAAGACAAAAGGGATAGACAGAAATGTCAAATCCACGACATGCAATTGTGTATAGGAAGAAAGAAGTCTGTCTGAAATCCGATTGAATTCTAGTTACATGGTGTTTTCCTAATGAATAACCATGGTCCTTTAATTTTATGTTAAGTGCTTAATCATAGGCCTTTAATTCTCCTTATTATGTTTTAAAAGGAAAATGCAAATGTTGCATATGCTGGCCTGCAAACAGCAGGGAGGAGATATTTCAGGTTAAATTTCTCCTGAAAGCAAGGCCGTTCGATTGGCTTAGATTTCCTAGGGACAAGCTCAGAAGTGCTGTTTACTTACAGGTTTTGGCTTCTCATCATAGCCCATAGGGCATGGTGGATTTTCATTCTCTGAGTACCGTCCTTTTAATGACATTTTAAAGAGGCTAAATTACTATTCGTTGAGTCTGCGGAGTGAGGAGGCACAAACAGCTTCATTTCCAAGGTACTTGTCAGATGAAAACACTTGACCTTGTGGGAAGGAAGGTGAGAATCTGGCTCATGAAAACCAGTCTCAAGCCACCTGATTTGCTTATAGAGGTTATGTCATGGAATAGTTATAGCCAATCACTTAAGCAGAGGGAGAGTACAAAGTGCTTAAGCCTGGGCTACAGTATCATTTGGAATGAACACATCCTGGTAATTCACAATTCACTCTTACTTATTATCATAGAGTTAGCAGATTGCATCTGAAATCACAGGCAGTCCCAATAACACAGTGTTGCTAATGTCACATGCTGATGGTACTAAAAACTCTAATTCGTAGTTCCGATAACCTAGCCATGCCCTGGGCGGTAGCATTAAAGCAGAGAGAAAAAGAAAACAAAAAAAACCTTAGGCCTAAATTTCCTGCATCAGAGACATTCAAAACAAGAGCAATTTTGCTGCCAATCAAACCTGCAAAGCTATTCTGATTGAAAGACCAGATTTCCTGATTAAAAATTTGCAATCAGATCAGGTTATGGAAGATGCAACGCTATGTGGAACAAGCATTACTAGACATCTCAAAGCTCTAATACAGTCACTTGAGGCTTTTCCAGCACGGCTTCTGGAGTCACAGTCCTTTTGAAGTGTCTGCAGCCATGCGTCTCCTTGATTGTTATTTGGCACATCTGCCTTCATTGAACGGCACAAAGCTTCTGAAAATATGCATCTGAAAGACACTGCAGGTACATAGCTGCACAGGCTAACTCTCTCCCCAAACCCATACCAGGCCTGTTAGTGACTATGTTTATAATGCAGATGAAAAGATAATCTCATTTCAGATACATAATTTGGCCATTACCACTTTGAGCATCACCCCAGAAAAAAATGGGGGATGGAGTGGGGGGGGGTGAACTTTTAAAAAATCGAAATGCTTCAGTAGCAATGGCAGAACACAGAGAGTGCTTCTTTGCACTTTACGGACAGGAAGGAATCTTTCCCCCAAAGTGCAAACTCTTCTTTTCAAACCACAATGGCTCTAACTAAATTTTCCTTCAAGTATCAGGCTTACAGGGGGTCTGCGAGAGGAGGAAACACGTCAGTATATGTTCTCAGTAATAAAAATCTTCCTGATATCTAACTTGACTCTCCTCTGTGCCTGCCAGGTAGTCCATTCATCACTTCCCCAGGGCTATTCTGTGTCCAGAGCGCTGTGGCACTCACTGCTCCTGGAGATGAAAATATGGCCTAGCTTTATCTTTAGAGCATCTTTAAAATATAGATTACAAGAGAGCCTGGACTACAAAGTGCTGCGCCGTGGTATTTAGAGAGCTCCGTGCTCTGCAGACAGAAGCCTGCCACCACATTAATTCATCCTGCACCATTCTCTGTTCTCATTATAATTTTATCTTAGGAATTAATACATTCTGCCATCGTCTATTCTGGTTACCATCTAGAGAAATCCGTGAGGCTGAATACATTTTGTACCACTTTGTTCTGCTTATAATGTTAAGATGTTTTCAAGAATGGATTAGTTCAATGCCACTTTCCTTGCTTTATCTTGAGAATGAGAACTCAAACAGTTAGAAAACTCCAACCAGCGTTGGTTTGAATGTGTCTCTAGCACAAAGAGTGCAAAAGAAGGGGAAGAAGGGAAACAGTTTCACTGGCCTTTGTTTTTAAGACTCCTTGACAAGGGGAACAGGAAGAGGGCACACATGAGTAGTGTTAGCTTGTGACAATGGCCTACGAAAGATAAGTTCTCGGCAGGAGTTGCTCCCAATGAAACAATTTGAAATTCCTCCATCACAATTCCATATTTAAAAAAATAAAATCTAACCACTAGGAATACACAATAATCCTAATAAAGATTCAAACTGAGAATCTTTGGAATTCACTCAAGACTTCAGTTGCCAAGGTCATTTTGTTACAAAAAAAAACTGATAAAAGTGATTAAAAACAACAAACAACAACAACAAAACAAACAAAAAATTCATGAGATTAGGAGAAAATGGAAAATGGCCCTCGACATAATGGCAGATTTACAGTAATGTGACAATTTCCCTTTGTTAAATTATGAGGCCAGTTCTTAATTGGACAGAAAGTCCCACCATAGTGACGATTCCCTGTTAGAAGTACAGGATACACTTGTGATCTGCTAGAAGATATGCGTACTGAAAACAACGTCCATCTTCTTTCCATCCGCCACCCGAAGCTTCTTCCCCATCACAAATGCCCTAGACCCCTCCATGTTTTCTCGTTTGCTTTCCTCTTTGTTCCCAGCACACATTTGTGATGTGAAGTAGGGGTACATGTTATATCTGGAAAATAAGTAAAGGCCATTGGCTGTACTGTCTCTAAATTAGGTTACTGGGCCACAGACACATTGCTCCAATAAAGCCCTCCCTTCCATCTATACGTCAATGTCCTCTCCACTTTTCATATTCTTATTCACGTTCTCTCCCTCTCCCTCTCTCCCTCTCCCTCTCCCTCTCCCTCCCTCTCTCTCTCTCTCTCTCTCTCTCTCTCTCTCGTGTGTGTGTGTGTGTGTGTGTGTGTGTGTGTGTGTGTGTGTGTGTGTAAGTCAGTGGACAGCCTGGATGAGTCTATGTTCTCCTTCAGCTGTAGATGTCTGCACTGTACTGATTGGTTGTGTGTCGGCTTGACACAAGCTAGAATCATCAGAGAGGGAGGAGCCTCAGTTGAGAAAGTGTCTCCCAAAGACGGCCTGCATTATAGGCCTGGGGTTGCTCAGAGATTCACCAGTCTGACCATGAATAAAATTCAACAAATACGACCCTTTATTAAATACTGGCCAGTGCCCTGGATACTGGCCAGGTCCATACCTGAGACTCATACTCGGAGGATGGTGCCAGATTACGCTTGTCAGGAGCTAATTACATTAGTCAAAGGCAAAACTCACAAGGAAAAGTACTTCCCACTCTCTGTGCAATCAGAGGCAAGCACACATCCTGACGTACTTCCTGTGTACGTGTCATCAAGCACACATCCTGTTCACTCCAAGCTTGTTTACAGAAGCAAAAACACATGGATTTGTTATCTTATAAGAACAGCCTCCAGTATTCCAGGAAGTTATCTGTCCCTGGGCATGTGGGGCTTACAGGTCGGAGGAATTTTTGCTTTATAGATCTCTTAATTCAGACTTAAAAGATAACATTGACCATCACACCTCTAGGACTGTTTTCTTAATTTGTGATTGATGGAGTCAGCTCTAGCACATTATGGGTGATGCTAAACCAGCGCTGATGATCCTGGGTTCTATAAGAAAGCAGACTGAGCGAGCCTTGTGAGCCTTACTGAGCAAGTCAGTAAGCAGCACCTCTCCATGCCCTCTGGATCAGCTCTTGCCTCCAGGTTCCTGCCCTGTTTGAGTTCCTATCCTGATTTCCTCCAAGATAGGCTATGATCTGGAAGTGCAAACTAAATAGATCCTTTCTCCCCAAAGTTGCTTTTGGTCATGATGTCTCATCACAGCAATAGTCACCCTAATTAGGCTAGAGTCCCAGGACAAAACTCAAGTCATCAGCCTTGGTTCCAAGTGGCTGTACCCACAGGGCCATCTCACCAGCCTATAGGTTTGTTTAGTGGTTTTTTGTTTGTTTTTTCGGTTTTTAAACCAGTTTCAGGTTTTTGAGCTCTTTAAAAATCTGTTTCGTTTCCAGTCTCTTCTTTATTCTCTGATGAAAACTGTAATTTCTTTTTGGAAATAAAAGTCTTTCTCTAGCACCTTCCCCACAGATGTGTTTAAATCTAGATCTCTCTCCCTTCCACCCATTTAGGTACTGGGGTAGGTGTTCCTTCTCACCTGTAGGGTTCACAGTCCCTTGGGCCACAGTTTCCACTCCCAGAGCCTCATTCTTTCAGTCCCAGACTCACTATGTACTCAACTTCTCCTTCCACAGGGTTTTCTATAAACACAATCTTTATTAGTTAATTAATTTTTTTAACTCTCATTCTTCTCTCATACACTACATCCTGACCACAATTTCCCCTCAGTTCACTACTCCCAGCCACCCCCTCGCCTCCCCTATTCCCCAGATCAACTCCTCCTCCACTTCTCTTCAAAATAAAAAAAAGAGAGAGAGAGAGAAGAAGAAGGCCTCCCTCCCAGGGATATCCACCCACCGAACATGGCCTAACAAGATACAACGAGACTGGGCACAAACCTCAAATCACAGCTGGATGTGGTAACCCAGTAGGAGGAAAAGGGTCCCAAGAGCAGGCAAAAGAGTCAGACACACCCCCACTCCCATTGTTGGGAGTCCGACAAGAACACCAAGCTACACAACCATAAGGTATATGCACAGGACCTACCTCAGACCTATATAGGGTTCCTGCTTCTCGCTTCAATTTCTGCGAGCCCATGCTTAGCTGATTCTGTGGGCCAGTCCTGTAAACACAATCTTAATTCTTTACACACAAAATTGGGAGGATATTTTTTTAAAACCCCGGACATGGCCCTGATTACCTTCCCTTTTTATTATTATTTTGTTTCAGTTCACAGCCAAGCTTTCTCTCCCTGCTGTTTTCTGACTTTGCAGTGTGGCTCCTGTCAGGGTGTGCCACAGAAACTGCTTTCAGAAACCCAGACTCGCTAATGGCCCCAGTATTGACGTATCTAATGAACACAGCTTTATCTATATCTTACTTCTCCACAGTGTGACACCAGAGGCCACCCTTCGTGCTTAATACTCTGTGTCTTTACTCAGGGACGAGGAATTTCTTCATAGTCTTAGCCTTCTTAGAGCTGGTCCTTAGCTTCCTTCATTCAACCTTTGTTCCTTCCTGAAGTATGGCTCTGTCTCGGGGCTCTACGGCCAACTGTCTTCCCTTCCGTTCAACCTTCATGGATGAACTTGCTGGCTTCTGTGGATTCTCTGTGCCTTAGAGCTCTATAATTCAGGTTCAATCCTTCCTCTGACCTTGAGGGCTGAACCCCTGACTCCTTCCCTACCATGTGTCTGAATAACTTGCTGTGACAGTTAATTTTATGTGTTAACCTGATTAGGATATGGATATGGGATACCTTGATGATGGGCAAAACATATTTTCTATGCTTTTTCATGAGGGTATTTCTAGATGGTATTAGCATTTGGATCAGTAGCCTGAGTAGAGATGCACCCTCACCAGTGTAGTAGCCATCAGCCTAATCTACCAAAGAACCAAACAGGACAAAAAGAAAGGCATGCTCTCTCTCTCTCTTTCTCTCTCTCTCTCTCTCTCTCTCCCTGTTGAGCTGCAACATCTGTTTTCTCCTATGCTTTAGAAAACAGTGCTCCTTGGTTTGGGATCTTATGATTCCAGGACTTATACCTGAAGCCTTCAGACCCTCAGAATGAGACTGAGTATACCACAGCTCTCTGGCATCTCCAGCTAGCAACTGGCAGATCAGCCTCCAAAAACACGTAGGCCAATTCCTATAACAAATCCTCTCTTACATATCTGTCTCTATCCTATGGTTTTTATTCCTCTGAAGGATCCTGACTAGTAAAGTTGGGATCAGCATGGCTTCTTCATTGATACCACCTGTCTGTCAAATTCCAACCACTTCCACACTGTGGCCATGTTAAGGGAAGATACAGCAGCTCATAACATTTATGGGAAACCCCTAAAGTAACAATGCACGTTTTACAACTGGCCAGCTTCAAAACAAATACCAGAATGACTCAGTTTCTAAATTTCCTCAAGTCCTATATCAGAACTTTTTGGAATTTATCTCATATGTCCGAGTACCATACAAATAATTGAACAATTTATGTAATTATCAAACAGGCAAACCATCACATAAACCTACTCAATCCACTCCTACTTCGTGGCTACCTTCCAATTCAAAGTCTCTGGTTCTTGGATTGTGAATATAAGCAGAATTTCCCATTGGATAGGGTTCACCTACAATGTAACAAGAACAAGATAATCACAGGAAACAGTTCCAAGATTAGGAAGTAGTTAACATAGCAGTAATCTGTCTTCAGGAATTTTCCAGGGAGGCACATTCTGCTCAGGAGAGTGGGGAGGTTAACATCTTACAATCAACTCTCAAGACACTGAATGTCCATTTTAGACTTAGGGAAGATTTCAAGAAGCTACAAGTATATAATTTAAAATTTCAACTTACTTAGCAGTGTGAATATGGAGATGGTAATTGTATGTCACCAATTTAGAAATGTCAATTGGAAGAGAAGTTGTCCACATCCTTTATGGCATTTCACAGGAAACCGTTACATAGTAGGAAACTTCTTTATAAATATGTAAAGTAAAGAGCCTAGGGTTATTTCACTCCATTGGTTATATTGAGTTGACTCTTTTATTCTAAAAATGTATCATTGTTGCTGTTTATAGCTTAAATACAACTTCCAGTAGATGAAGAAATAAACAAACTGTACCTCTAAATGTCCAACTAAAGTCAATTTTAAAGGCTCTCCGATGGATGTTCTTCTGAAGAACCAGCATTGACTTTCATTGCCAGAACAAGCAGTAGTTAAGATTCTGTCACCTGAAAGAACCCAGATTTAGTAGTAGCTGTCCCCAGAGAGATATTTGATTCTCACTGGAAGTAGACTGACTGATTTACCTTGCCCTTGTTCATGGTCTCAACACAGACACGACTTTGATAAAATATAGTCCAAATGGAAGCTGCTATTAAAACACTATTCTGTATGGGAAGAAAGGCTTTGCTACTAAACTTATGAGTAGACATTTTCATGCCTTCCATTCGTTTTCTCTAAATTTCAAAGGTGAGTTTTTCATCAGCCTTGGTGAGGAGCAACCTTTAGCTGTTCGAGGCTACCTAGAATGGTCCATGCAAGTGATTTCAGTCTGCCTTCTCATCCAATACTGTTTCCAACAGCACTAGTGACAATTAGCTGTAATTGTAATGGCAGCCATTCTGATGGAGACTCCAGGCTCTTTGGGGATGGAGCTGAAACCACTATACTCATTTCCCCAAAGACCTTGGACCTTCAGGGGTAATGACTTTGTGTCATTAGATTCTTAAGCCAAAATTCAGCTGATAGACTAAAGGTTAACTGTTCTATTTCCATTACCCAGAAGCCCAGAATGGTAGTTCTTATTTGTGTTGTGATCACCCCCAATAAGTTCCTTATCAAATTTATTACCACTTGATACTTAGAGGACTTCCTCAGTGCTAACCACATAAAAAAAGTAAGGTGTACATACATGTGTGCACATTTATGTGTGTATTTATGTGTGTGCACACGTGCATGAGGATGCATAAGCACATATGCTCATGCACATGGAAGTGAGAGGATGATAGTATCTTCCTCAATCATTCTTCATCTTATCTTTTGAGACAAGTTATCTGTTTTGACTGTTTGACACTGACTGGTCCGTGAATTCCACAGATTCATCTCTCATGCACAGGTGTTATAGATCGCACGACCTAAGAAAGTCCTATTCCTGGACTTTTTTATATGAGTGCTGGGGATCCCAACTCAAGCTTGTTCTCACTCTTGTACAAAAAGTGTTTTACTAAATAAGCTATATCATCATCCTAGATGTAAAATCAAATCTAGAAATGAAAAGAAAAACTGTAGGGAGGGTACATTAGACTACACAGTATGGCTTTTATCCTCCGTATATTTAATTGAGAAAGAAAATTATATGCATGTCAACTCCATCAAAAAAGAAGTCAACCATCTTACTACACTATTTTCTACTATATTAGAGTTTATGTCAGTAACTAAGAAGATTGTAAAACTTTATTTTGCATCTCAGACACTTTTTTACCAGTATATGTAAAGTAGAAGCATAAACATATTGTTTATTTAAACTAAGCATTTGATTGTAGTTCAGAAGTTCAGAGATTACTATAGGAAGTTGGTAAGTGGATCCCTGGGGCAAGAGAAAACAGATTCTTTTTTATTTATTTATTTATTTTTTGTTCCCATAAGACTCATTTCCAAACCCTATGGGGTTTTTTTTTATCAAGCTGAGCTTCAAGTTTCCTGATCTTTTCAGACTCCAATTAACTTGTGCTATTCTATGAGTTTTAATTTGGTCCTGTGTTATTCATCTCCAGCAAGAAGAAAACTAACATTGGAAAAATAGTTAAGCAAAGTGGTAGCTGGGAATTTATATTTAAAAAAAAAAAAAGAGGTGGGTGGGGGGTGGGGGGTGGAATTAGTTCCCAAGAGAGAGAACAAACATCCTAAGCTACTTGGACTATTAGAAACAGAATCTGTGAAAACCTCAGGAAGTGGGATAAGGGGTGACAGCACAGATGGATGCCCACCCAAAGGCTCTGGCCGAATCAGGGATGGTGTGGCTGACGGCCGGAAGAGAAGCAGAGGAACACCATTCTTCCTGGGTCTGGTGAGGGCTTGGAAAGGATTGCTTTTCTTTGGTGTCCCTCACCCTTCCTGCCTTACATCCACTGCTTCACTCATTTCATTCCTATCAGCCAATTCTGGAACCTTTGAAAGAGGATTGGTTTTCGTTCCTGGCAGCCCTAAGCCACAGCCAGCAAATTTAAACTTCCTGGTTTTCTTCAAAAGGAATTCCAGGGGAAGAGCAGGGAGAAAAGGGGTATCCAGATCCCAGATGGTTGGGAGGGGTCTCTGAAGTTTTTATAAAAAAAAGACTGTCATTGCACCAGGGCAGGCCAAACAGGGTTTGGAAAAGGACCTAGACTTGAGTCAACCATGAGTAAGAGCTTCTGAGCATGGTAACTGCAGCTGGTCATACACTTAGCAAGGCATAGACTAAACATTGTGGCCTCTGTGCCTTCTCTAGTGTTTATTATATTCTGTTTGTAGAAGTATCCATAACATTTTAAAATTTTTTCTGTACATGCAAGTTTGTAATGTTTCATTTTCATGCATGAAAATGCTCATATAATGGCTAACGTGAATCAGTGTTTACCCTGACCTCATACCCAGCATTGGACTAAGCATTTGTCTTCTTTGGGTTTATTTTTACAGTAATCGTAGAAGGAAAATGTCTCATTCTGAGGCTTATTTGTTGAAATAGTATGGAGTCCCCTCATTCAGCTGATGTGAAAACAAAGGATAACTTGCTTACAGGGTTACTCAATGATAAATGATGGTAGAATTGCACTCACACAGAGCTATTTCTGGTCCCAAAGCCACTTTCTAAATCCTTACCCAATACTATTCTGAGTGTAAAGCTTTAGACCTAACTCTTCTCAGCCTCGGATTCCACAGTCAGTTTAATTAGAGGTTTGGATGCCATGATTGGCCATGGCATGATGATCTGGGATGATACGGTCTCTTAAATCAAAGCCTGCAAGCTTGGCAGGAGCAAGGAGTGCTCCTGAACCCTTTTCCGCCCTGACTGCGCTGCTTAAAGACATGGAGCACACAAGATGGTCTTGCTCTTGATTAAAATAAGCCCAAGATCTACAACCAGATCTCAGCCTTTTGGTAAGAACTCCAAATACATGGCTAAGAATATCTATATTTTCCTTCAGATGCAGCGAGTCTTTCCATGTCTACCTTCTTAGAAAAGAGTCCCTCTCTAGATTCAATGTACTGGTTACTACCTCTTTTCTTTTTCTTTTCATGATTTTTTATTTGTTCGTTTGGTTGGTTTGTTAGTTTGGGCCTTTTTGTTGTTGTTGTTTAGTTGGTTTGTTGGAAACTTTTTTTCTTTAAAAAAAATCCTTATAAGAGTTGTAAATACTCTTCTCCCTCAATAATCATGAGACAAGAGTTCTAGGAAGTCCATGGATGCCAAAAAACCCATGGATGCACATGATCCTTAAGACATATCAGCATATAACCTACAAACATCATTCTATGTTTAAAATTCCCTCTAGATTACTGATAATATAAACAGTTGCTATATGGTTCTGTTTAGGAAGTGATGACAATGATAAAAAGGTTCTATACATGTTCCATACATAATTTTTTCTGAATATTTTCAACCTGTGCTTAGTGGAATTCACAGATGGAAAACATGTCAACACAGAGGACCAAGTATGCATGCTTCTGCCATTTCCTCATTTCTCAATGTGTGTGTGTGTGTGTGTGTGTGTGTGTGTGTGTGTGTGTGTGTGTGTGTCTCGCATGCTCTAATACTCACATGTATTTGAGTAGGCATCCATGTGGAGACCAAGAGTTGAGACACTGAGCATCTTCCTTGGTTGCTCTCTACTTCATTCATGAGGCAGAAACTCTCACTGAACTAGGAACTTGCAATTTGACTAGTCTAGTCTAGCCAGCACACTCTGGGAAATCCTGTGTCTTCTCCCAAGCACTGGGAATATAAGCAGATCACCATGCATGTCCAGCTTTTTTTTTTAAATTACATTCATTTCTTTGTTGAGTGGGGCATGCCATTGTGTAGGTGTGGCAGTTGCAGGTTGACTTGAAGGCGCCCATTCCTTTCCTTGGACCAGGTGGATTCTGGGTATCAAAGACAGGCCTTTCAGCCTTAGTGGCAAGTGTCTTTACTCTCTGAGTCATCTTGCCAGCCTCACCTATGCAGCTTTTAGATAGCTGTTGCTGACCCAAACTCTCCTCCTCACACTCGCGCAGTAAATACTTTACGCAATTAGCCATCTCACTAGCCCCTCACCTCCCATTCTCTTTCAACCCACTCCAAATAGGTTTCCACTGTGTCAGTCTACAGAAACCTCTTACCAAGTTCACCATCAACCTCCATAATGTTCTTCATCTGGCCTCTCATGAAGTGAAACGTTAGGGTTATGATACAGAGGAATGACTAAACAAAACAAAATAAAAAAAAAACTAATAAGTATCTAAAGACTAAAAAACTTATGAAAGAACTTCATTGAGACTCATTAGCTAGATGCTGAAAACATAAATATGTATTTTTTTCATAAAGTAGCTCACTGTTTCCAAAAGTTTCTTTTTATGGCACTGCTATTTGTTGCATTAAAAAATGGTAATTATTTAGTTTGGATTTTACTTAAATAAATATACTCTCCCATCCACTACTGCTATATACAATCCTAATACATACCAAGAGATACTTGAAAATGTTTGCAACTGCCTAAACTAAAGGATATCCCAATGGTTTCTAGCCACAGGAGTTCATCCGAACCGCTTTTTCCATGCTTAGGTAGGAAAACAGGTTGGAGAGTTAATAATGTCTGCGGTCTTGGCATAGCTGCTGGGTGGGCTTGGAACTAGAAGCCATTCCTCACATTTTGAAGCCCGTGTCATCCCACTATCACATGCTTCCTTGGTATTTGTCAAAAGATTAATAGATTTGACACAATTACAGTAGTTTCTTTTACTAGTCCATACATGGTTCTGACAGGACTCACTAATCTCTCTTCTCTAACCTGTCCATTCCCAACCTGTTCTGGGTAATCACTCAGCATTTGGCAAGTGGTCCCACGTTATACTATAGGCGTGTTAAATATAGTAATTGGCTTTGAAAATGCTTCACCATTTTAAAGATTAGCTTGGACTTCAAATTATACTGATAATAATACCATTTTTATTTATTTGTACTCCAATATATCCTACTGAGTAGCATGTATTACAGGAGATGGACTTAAATTTGGCACACTAGGACCTTGGCCTAAGGGCCTCATGTTTCAGCCTGTCACCCACATTCTCCCACAGGTAGGGAATGTCCACACGTGACTGTTACCATCACGTTCAGCAAATTAATAATGCCTTCAGGATGGTTAAGAGGCAGCTTAGGAGGCATTCTCATATTGCCTTGGTCTTCCGGTTATTAAACACACTAAGTAATCAGCAGAGATTTCTTGAGAAAAAGAAAAGTTGGAGATGGATTTTGCCAATGTTCTTGGTTGGAGTACCACTAGAGGACACAACTCTTCATATAAATCTCAATCCATTTGGCCAAGAGCCAGCTGAGCCACCTATGTGGGGGTGGTCCTGGGAATACAGTACTGGGAAGACAAAAAGATGTTCCCTGGGAATGGAGAGGTTGGGCTCAGGAGAAATACAAACCTTTGGCCATTTTCCAAAGCATGGTACCACACTGGAAACCATAGTAGGTTGTCTCTATATCCCTACTCAAATCTTTTTTTTTTTCTCATCTCTGAAATTAGCATCAACAAGGGAGTTGAGGGAAAAGCTACCAACCTCCACCTTCCTGCAGGCCACAACAGCAGGTGTGCCTATTTTCAGAGGTAAGTGAAATATTTGCCAAATCATTTGGCACACTCAAACTCAAAATGTGCCAAATTACCTGTCAAACTTAAATGGCCTTTTAAAAAGAGAGACAAATGTCCTCCCATCCTCGTCTTCATGGACCCACAGTGCCATCCAGTGGCTCACTGTGTCAGTCACAATGGGACTCCATTGTCTTCCAGGGTTTGGATCCAAGCTATGCTCCCTGTCCATGGCATTGGCTCCTTCACTACTCAGAGCCTTTGAGATTCGAGAAGATGCAATGCATTGAAGATAAGCTGAGTTGGAGAGGAGCTGGTGCCAAGGCCCAGATGTCATGCCTATGGCATCCAAAAAGAGTGTAAGCTGCCTGTAGGATTTTCCAACCAGCAAATATCCAGGTACCACATAAACAATGACAAAAGAAGACAAGGCAAGGCAAAAGAAAACAGTCATTACCATACACAGGTTTTGTGTTTTGTCCCTAAGTACTTTCCCCTCATGGGTAACTAGGCCAGCCAGAGCATGGCAATCCATTTTATTTCCACATGGCAAACAGTGTTTGTCTGTCAGGCCTTACTTGTCTGATTTCTCCCCTAAAAAGCCCTTTTCAATGGAGTGAAATTTTCTCCGCAGTGAAGGTAAGGAGTTCTGGCCACACAAGCTGGTGGAGCCTAGGCGAAGAAGAAAGGACACGGAGGAGGGAGGAGAACTAGAGGCAGACTCGATTCTCTTCTATGTGCCCAACTGCAAGACCAAGGTGTGCCCCTTGACATTGGTCTCAATACACTACTGTAAATGGGGCTTTTGAAAGGAATATGGATGATGCGGTGACAGCCAAAGCAAAGAGATAGCTTCCTTTTCAGCTAGAGACTATGAAATGTTTACGAGCTACACCAATTAAGACCGACATGGAAGTCAATGACCACTAGGTTGGCTCTGAAGTGATCGTAAACGAGAACGTGAACAGGAACTGTAGACTGCTAAAAACTCAACTCTTACTCTGATTTTTCCCAGTGTAGCTTAACCAAGACCTGTAACATGGTTCACCTCAGGTTCAGTTGGATCAGATCTAGGCAAGCCATGGTGTCATTTCTTCATCTGTTTTAAAAGAGCCAGTGAGGAAAGCATCTGCCCTGATTACAGGGCTCTTTACTTCCCAAGTAAACGAAACCCTTCTGGTTCTCATCTTGACAGACCCTCTAGCTGAGGCTATGTCCACACCCACTTTCCCATTGCTATTCAGTCTTACTTTTTCTTAATACATTGTATAAAATAATCAGAAACGAGGGGAACTTATCGCTTCTCAGCTAGTCCGACATCTCCATTTTGCAGATATGGAAATTGAGGACCATTTCCCCATCCACATTTTCTAAAGGAGTCCAAAGCTTTCCCACAACAGAAGACACAAGAAAGGAGACAGATGCTCTCACACTTTTCATAATGAAGAAATATTCCTGACCTGCCTGCCATCATCCCTCCGTTCTAAATTCTTATCCTCATACCCACAGATAGGTATAGATTTCACCTCTCATCAAGGAGAGGTGTTCTCTTTGCAACATTGGAGATCACAGCATAAAACCACAACTCAAAATTCTCAGTGGCTACATCTACAACACAGCTCCTGCACCTATGGCTCAGGGAACATAGAAAAAGAGGAAGTGGAGAGACTCTACGTGCCAGAGGACCAAGAAATCTGCTGTGACATCGTGTCTCCTAGAAATGACAGAAAAGCTGCACCCATGATACCTGAACACTGTGTCTGCCTAAACAAAACCTAAGCTAGAACACCACCAATAGATATGCTAAAGTGGTAGGAGGAAGGCCCAGGCTCCAAGCTTAGACAAGGCAGCTAAGGAATGCTGAAAACAGGAGAAATGGTTTTGCCCAGGGATAACCCCTCCCCCCGATTGGTTATCCAATACCAAGTGGTCAGATCTGCATACATACCTACATACAAGCAACACTAGACGGAATCATCAGGGTGTGTGTGTGTGTGTGTGTGTGTGTGTGTGTGTGTGTGTGTGTGTGTGTGTGTGTGTGTGTGTGTGTGTGTGTGATGATAACAATTCAAGGTAAAGAAGCCATGAATTTGCGAGCAGGGAGCTGGTGGAGAAGAATGGGAGAGGTTGGAAAGAAAACAAGAGGAGGGAAACGACGGAATCATATTATAATTTAATTTTTTTTTTAGCCGGGCAGTGGTGGCGCAAGCCTTTAATCCCAGCACTTGGGAGCCAGAGCCAGGTGGATCTCTGTGAGTTTGAGGCCAGCCTAGTCTACAGAGCGAGATCCAGGAAAGGTACCAAAACTATACAGAGAAACTCTGTCTCGAGAAAAAAAATTATTTTTAAGAAATCAGGGAAATAATTTCACCCACAATAGCATCAAATAACATATCTCGGAATGAAAATTTGTGAACAAGAATACTAATACCGCTTTCTTTGGAATTATTCTCTAGTAGTATTTTAATACCTTACATATTTATTTAACCATTCTGTTAGAGTCTCAAGATATACCATATTAGCATCTTGTAAAGTCTACATAGTTGCTTTACAAAAGAAAGGGTTAAATCAAATGGTCCTTAAAGAGTACAAAGCTTTAAAAAAAAACAGTAAATATACCTAGACTTGTTATTAACACAATCTAAGAATTTGGCAGGCCAAAAAGTGGTATAATTACACACCTTCCCCCATCTCTATTTGGGAGTTAGGGCTAACAGGAAATCTTCAGTAGAACACCCACTAGTGCTTTGGAACCAGAGATTTTGAGTTGTTCAACTCTGGGGTCATAATATAGACAAGCCACCTCATTTGGACTTTGGAGACGTCTACTGGAGAAATTGTGGTTTTCTGGATTGTTCCATTTGAAATAAAGGCTTAACAAAGCAGTTTAATAAACAGTGTCTGGTCAAAGTCTAGAAGAATGATACGATATGAATGCTTGTCTTGTGAGTAGAACCACAATTAGGAAGTCATGTGGGAAAAATTATTTAAAGGAGCCATGTTTAGACAGCAGGATGCCCAGAATATCTTGTTAGGTAGATTACGAATGTTTCCCTGTTGGAAGGAGGCTTTCTAAAGCATTAGGCATAGGATGAACTAACAGAAGTGTAGGCAATGAACATTTGCTTAGCTGAGATTCAAGGAAGAGGTCCTCACATCAAAATCTGGGCTGTATGTTCTTGCTTAGGAACTCTGATCACATCTTGCTAAGATTCCAGCTGCTTTGGTAACACAGACAGATACACCATCTAACAAGCTCAAAATAAAGAAGGAAAACAAACACCGGTCATTGATAGACCTCAGATAGGAACTGCAGACTACCGTCACATAAAGCAAAGCATCATTAGTCCTCATTGGACCTAAAACTTAGCATCCTAAGATGTTTCTCTTCTTTCCCTATCAATACCTATTTATTGGCACGTAGGTCAAAACACAGAACATACAGTCATTCTGTTGTTTAGAGCCTCACAGTCTAGAGTTCCTCTATTTCCCCCCCCATTTCTACATCCCCATGTCATCTGCCAATTACTCCACGCTTCTTTTTACAAATCAGCTTTTCTGGCCTCCTCTGAGTGTTAGGCCCCTGTTGTCCAGGGCCTTTCAGCCTTGGAGTACAGCAACTAAATACAATCAGCCATTCCGGTCATTGGCTAGCTTGGGTCAGAACCATGCCTGATTCAGGTTACAGGCTACAGATATGCTGGTCTAGGCTGATATGTTGGTCTCCAGTCATCCATGGTGTCATCAATAGATACAGCTCCTAGAAAAAAATGGGTATTTTTTTAGGTAAATATCAACATTATATCTACTATTGTATTTTTTGTCGACATTCATAGAAATTTTGATTCATTTTATGACATGTTCCTGACTATGTTAAGATGGAGTCCATGTCTGTCAAAGTTTCTATCATTTCTGGATCGTGATCCAGTTCTACCTGGTTGGTCAGAACTGGGAGTCAAATAGGAAGTTCTCCCATGGCTCCTTGAACTTGAAAATTATGAAATTATCAACAGAGCAAGTCGGCAATTTGCCAAGTGCTCTCCTTTTTGAAGAATAACACTTGCGGCATCTGTCCAATGTAATGAGACATTTCAGCCACTGTGCTTCTGGTAAATGTTAGAATGTGAGATGGCATGGTGCACATTGTCATCAGGCTCTAACGAGTCTGTGTCTAGTGCTGATGCCATAGCAGTTGTATGTGACAATTACATTCTTATTTTAGTTTATTTTTGCTTTTGTACTCTCTGTCAAACGTTCCTTTCCAAGGCTTATCCTCAGATTTTTCACGTCTTTATCCCACTCATAACAGGATTACTACGTAGAACAACCCATACCAATGCTATTCTCAATGTCTAGCCATTTAGGAACAAGGTAACCAAGAGATGCAGTATGATAAGGGGTCAGAAGTGATTGTCTGTTCCCATGAAGATTAGCCACTTTAAGAGACCTTGCCAGGGCTTGCTGTGAACCATACAAAATCCTTCCTAAAGCATTCTGCTTCTCTCACAGAGAATCCTAAGGAATGGTTCAAGAATTCTGCTTTGCAACCCTTTGCTGGCACCAGAAAGAAACTTTAAATTGGTTGACGCTCAATTTTGTATTTGAAGGCATGCAGGAGGGTTAACAGGTGTAGCCTGCAGACTCTGTGCTCAGCAGAAGCCTCTGTGAGCATCAGGGACATGAGCACCTTGAGGAGGATGTGAAGAATGAACTGGATCATTCTGGAATGAAATGGAGAGCACTTTTGGTGAGCAGACTCAGAGGCAACTGACGGGACATCTTCTGATACTAGGGCTCTCCAATTTCAGCTTCACAAATACAGGTCCACAGACATCTACCATGACAATCAACTTGTCACATAGCAGGACAGCAGTTATACATCTGCCCAGCTCCTGGCAGGGTAATTTCCTTCATCAAATTTACCCAAACAGGAAATCTGTCTACAGCTGATGACAGCGAGAATTATCCTTTGCAAAGAGAATGGCAGCATCATAAGAAGGTTACTAGCAATCCAGGCAGGCTCAGGACCTAGGTAACAAATTATTTCTCCTGCTGATCCTGCTGTGTTTTTTTGGTTTTGTTTTGTTTGTTTGTTTGGTTTTTTTTTTTTTTTTTTTTTTTTTTTTTTTTTGGTTTTTTTAACAGGCAAGACTCTAGAACGCCAAACTGAGGAGCTTCTCTTATGAAGCTCTCGCTGGGTCAGATACATGTAGTTGCAGCCATAACTTGCAACAGTTTTTAAATGGCATATGTTGCTCAAACTGAGTCCCCATAATAACCCTGTGAGACAGAATGCTCTCTATTTGCCCCTTCTCAATAGAGGAAGCCTTGAAAGATTGTGTGATTGGTTCAAAGACTTGAAAAATTACCTGACATTCGCAAAATCATCTTTCCTTGCTAATGAGCAAGGTAAGCAGAGCCTTTGTCGTAATCTGACTCCTACCCAGCATTCTTCACCCCAGAACTCCATTTTCTTTTTGCACATCGAGCAAATCTGATCTATGTATTCTACGGAGCTAAAGCAGCTGCTCCATCTCCTGCTTTCATAACTGCACCCCAGACAAAGGATAAAGCCACAAGATGCAAGCTATCTACTTACCCTCCATTGGTTAACATTTAGCTCCATAATCTACAAAATAAAGGCTTTTATTGAACAACTATGTGGCCTACTAAAATTCAAGGAGAGTTTATTTCTAAAAGAAGAAAGAAAGAACAAATTTGAGCAGACATGTAGGCATGCACTGGGCATCTGTGGAGAAGAAAACCAGGTAGAAACAAGCCTTTGGTGAGTCTTAGCTGTGCGGATACAATCTTCAAGGCAATTTCTCCTAGGCTTGAAATGGGGCCTTCTAAAATGCCTCCCAGACTGTCCTGAAGCAATTGCTTCCCCGGATATCCCAAGCCCCACAACAAATTGTAGAAAATAGAATTGACCACAGCTGTCTCACATTTTGGAATTTACAAAATGGCATTAAAAAATTCAGAAGCATTTGAGTAGATTGCATAGCTCATGTTTAATATGTCCTGAACAGACATTAAAATGGGAGGGTGGGGACACTGCCGGGGGTGCATGCTACTGCTGAGTCTCCTCCCAGAGTGAAATACCTGAAGAGCTTGTGTTCTAGAGTGTTTCTTCATATCTCCAATCTCATGGTTCCCCGAAAAGATTCGAGTTTGTTTCCTTTGGTCGTGACTCTCGGTGTTAGAAAAGGATCCACCCCAGTGTTGCAACGGGCTCAAGGAGAAGGTCAAATAACAAAGAACAAAGGAAGGTGGGCCTTGAGGAAAATATTGTGTCGTGGAAGAGCCCAGCACAGACCTAGTGATGCTCAGCTAATGATGTTGGATGGTGTGGACGATGATGGGTACCACTTTCCTGAGTTGCCTTTATCTGTCATGGGCATTTGTGTTTTTGTCAGTTCCATTTGCATACATTCTCTTTACTTGATGATTTCCATCTTTTCAATGTACTTTGAATCATCTTACCTCATAGTTCTTATCTATCGGTAGTCCTTTACAGGAATGGTGTATGTGAACATAGAAACCAAGTCTTGCGGTGATATGAATGGTAAAAAGCTGGAGTCCTCCCCATAGCCAAGGACACTGCTTCTCTTTGGGAGTTTTTCTGGAATATTCCCTGACAAATCAGAGAGAGCAATGGGTGACATAAAACTTCTTTGCTTTACCCCAAGAGTCTTAACTTCCCACTTCACAAGGCATTGATTTTTTTCATTAGTCGAGGAAAGCCACAGCCTGCAAGGCAACCATCAGACAAAATTCCACATGTGCAAGGCATCCTGTGCTCCTTCAATTCCCACATACCTAGGATGATTATCTTAAATACAGTTAAAGTTGTTACCTTGAAAAAAACACCCAACAACAACAAACGTCAACTAGTATGAGGTAATGCTTACTGAGTGCTTTATCTCAGCCCTGTCTTTCTCTCTGTAGACACTGGTAGTTTTGTTTTCTAGTAAGTTCTCCCAGATGAATCATCCCTGCTTAACATTTCAACACTAGATTCCTTTGGGTCAGTCTCCTGTCTTCCAAACCCACTGTCCCATCTCCCTCCAGGAATAATGCTGCAGGAAATGCATGCCTGTACAACTGTGGATGACTTCTTCCAAATCACGTCTAGACTCCTGATGGCTCAGATCCACCACAGCTTCCCACAGATCCCTGCTTCTTCCATGTAAGTGAAAATTAAGGCTCTGCCTCAACAGCCTGGAACCTATGCCTAGCATGGCAGCTGCCTATGCTGGCCTCTGATGAGATTTCTTTTTATAGAATACTTTGAGATGGTGCAGAGTTCCCAAGGGTCTCTGGGTGCTTGATGTGTCCTGCATCCCTGGTTCCTCTCATATTCCTGCCACAGTGTGGGACCTTCTGATTTTGACAGTTTCCCATCCTACCCACCAGTGCCCTGTAAGATGAGACCATGCATTATTGAACACATTCACCCTCCAATACCCTTGGCAGGAACTAAGGTGCTGTCTTCTTCCTGAAATCTTGTTCCCAAAGGCTATTGTCATTGGTCCATGTGTGTTTGTTTGCTTTTGAGACAGGGCTTCACTATATAGCCCTGGTTGACTCGAAGTCAGGATCCTCCTGTCTCAGCCTCTCGGGTGCTGGGCATGTGGGACCATACACAATCGTTACATTTTTGGCGACTAAACCACAAGTGACAAAAGAAGATAGGAAATGGCTGATTTGTTGAATGTACATGAAGGTCCTGTGTTAGGCTACGATTTGTTCTATTAGTAGCAGGGAATTATACACACGGGAGGTGATCTTTACCCCAACTATCTTAAAAACAATACACACAGGGAAACATTGTGATCAGTAGGTACAACCCTTCATCTCTGAAAGATTATGGAGGTTTAAGTGAGGTGGACTGCACCAGCAAGGAGTATCTGTAACCAACCTTTCTCTCCCTGTAACTCCCAATCAGGGGGCCTGGATGAATCTGAAGGAGAAACGTTATTGAGCCATTTCCTTGTCCCTCTACAGCGAAGATGCCTTGGGCCCAGCTGTTCTCTGTCTCCTCTAAGCTAGTGCGTCTTAGATAGTCTACCTGATGCGCCACTCGCCACCCAGGCCAACCTCATCGCAGCATCTCCCGAGATGACTAAACAGTAGATAATCCTCTTGTTCCTTGTATGTTTGCATTTAGACAAAATCTAATTCAAAGAAACAGTGATGAGAGAGAAACAAACAAAGAGAATTCTGCAATAAGGCAAGCAGATCTTAAGGGAGCTGACAAATAAGGAATTGATTTCAGCTTTGGGAGGCATTAGTTTGCTTCAGGGCCCTGGAAGGGCAGCTTGTGGCCCCTCTCCTTCATAAGGTCTCTCTGTGCACAGGCACTTTCTTCCATGGGCTCTTTAGGCTGGGGAAGCTTGCTCTCTCTCTCTCTCTCTCTCTCTCTCTCTCTCTCTCTCTCTCTCTCTCTCCTTCCTTTGGAACACTTCCTCTACTTATTGTGACTTGCTATCATTGGAATGCCACTTCTACACGGTCAGTCCCTTTGGGTCAGGGTCACTTATGTGCCTGTGACACAATAGGAAACTGAGACTCATTTGACAAGAGGAAGAATGCAAACATAAATCTAATTCTGACCCATTTGCCATTTTTTTTTTACACATCAGCTTTGTTTTGCTGAATAAGAGAATTTATCAAAAAGAAAAAAGTGGGAGGGGACTGGAGAGAATGCTCAGCAGTTAAGAGCACTTGTTCTTTCAGAGGATCTGGGTTTGGTTCTAAGCACCTTCATGGCTGTTCACAAGCATCCATAGCTCCATAACTCTACTTTCAGGGGATCTATGACCCCTTAGAAACTCTGTGGGCATTGGGCATGTATATGGTGCACATACATACAAGCAGGAAAACCATTCATATACTTAAATTAAAAATCAATGTGTCTTAAAAAACATGGAAAAAAATGTTAAACAGGAATGTTTAATCCATGGCCTATGGGCCACATGAGCCCAAGGAAGGCTCTGAATGCAGTCCAACACTAAATTATAAGCTTACTTAAAACAAATATCTTCTATGATTTTTTTTGTAACTCAATCACACAGTTTTCAATTATTGTCACAATGCCAAAAGGCTGGACCTGGAGCTCATCTGGTAAAGCGCTTGCCACAGAAGCATGAAGGCTTCAGTTTGGATCCCAATATCCATGTAGAACGCCTGGCATGATAGCAAGCATCTCCAATCCCAGCCCTGAGGAAACCGAGACAGGAAGATCCCAGGAGCTTGCTGGCCAGCTTGGCTAGCCCAATCAGTGAGCTCCAGTTCCTCTGAGGAACCTTGTCTCAAAAAAATTAGGGGGAGAAGCAATTGAAGAAGACACTGACATTGACTTCGGACCTCCACGTGAATGTGCATACAAACATGTATGCATATATACATAAATGTGGGAAGACCGGGCACAAGTAGGACTATAGAGTAAGGAATGAGCAAGGAATGCATGCCTTCTGCACCAGGCCGGGTGGTGGCCTCACTGCTACTTTCTTTCTCTTCCTCTGCTCACCTATTATGTGGAGGAAGGCAAATACCACAAGCATTGGGCGTGACAAGCTCACCTCTCTCCCCTGCATGCTCTGTACAGTAATTACCCTGTTGCAAGGGTCTGTCCCCTGGCTGGTAAGAAATGAAAAAAAAAAAAAAGAAAGAAAGAAAAAAAGCCTGGCCTTGTTGCTGAGCTGTACAGAATTGGGCGGGGGGGGGGGGGGGGGGGCGGCTGATAGGACCAGTCAGCTGTAGCTGTGCAGCTGGAGGCTGCAGAGGGAAGGGCTGGGCTCTCATCCTGTTTCCCAAGCATCCCTGGGCACACAATCTGGTAGATTATTGACAATGCTGAATGATGTGGATGGCATTTATTAGTTTTCAATGGCTTCTATAAAAATGAACCTCACACCATCTGCAGAATTAGGATTCAGAAGCAGCCCTGGATATAAAATATTTGCGGCTGCTTCTGCTATTATATAAGGTTTTACATTTTATAGCCACCCCGTGGGACTTGACATGTAAATTAAGATACATATTTAGAAGCAGTAAATAAACTTAGGAGAGCAGCGGTACAATTAATGAATGGACAGAAAATTGCATGTGGGAGGAGAGAGAGCTTTTCTATATAGAAAGTCGGCCATGAAATGAGGTTTAAACAGTCTCCAGTCACTATCATTAAGACATTAATAGTAAACATAACACTCTGGAATTCATAAGGAAGATATTTCAGAAAGTGAATAAACACCTCTCTATAAAGGAGAAATCCAGTGGGTATGGCGTCCTCTCTCTCGCCATCTCACTGGAAGGGAACTTGTCTAATTATTCAAAAGCATACTGCAGTCTTACCTCTGGCAGAGTAAATGTTTTGATCCAAAGAATTCCACGGGAAGCATCCAAGGACTTATTCTACTGTCTCACAATTTTCTAAAATAATTACCAGGTTAGGCCGCTTCTCCAGACTCTGTGTTCCTCATGAAGACAGCATCACAGTGTGCTTCAGAAAGGCAGATGGAAACCAAGCTCAACACGAGAAGCTCACATTCCCTAGGCAGGTAAGGTTGCCCCCCCCCCCGCCCCCCCCCGCCCCCCAACCCCCAACCTCCCCCACCCCCGAGCCCTGAGCAGGATCATCACTTTTTAAATGACTGATATTTATTGTGATATTGACCTTGCTCTGGTAGTTTTCCAAAGAAACCAAAACTCTTGTACCAGACTAGGAAGTCCTCCCTTACATCCCTCTTTCCACGTATGCTTAGCCATGACTTAGAGGAAGCTGCCCTCTCATCTCCAGCAATGCCATATATTATTATATTATTGTGCCAACCCATGTTTATTTTTTTATTGGCAGTGCTTTTTTTTTGGGGGGGGGGTCGTGGTAGCAGTGGTGGTTTTGCGAAGTAAAGTATCAGTATATAGCCCTGGCTGGTTTGGAACTCACTGTTTAGACTAGGCTAGCCGTGAGCGCGCTGTATTTACTTTTGATACCTGTCCGTTTTGTGCTGCAGAACACATAGACATGTAGTCATGTGTTGTGGCTCAGTGGTTAAGGGCACAGACTGATGTTCCAGAGGAACCGCGTTCAATTCCCAGGTTGTCTGGAGTCCGATCCCGCAGGATAAAAAATAATAAGTAAGTAAGTAAACAAATAAATAAATAAATGGGAGAAGGGACCATGTGACCCCTCTCTCCTCTCTTTATAATCTTTTCACCTGTGGCCAGCCAGGACGAGGCCACCACCCAGTCTCCCATTCTCTCCCCCTGAATCTGCTCTTTCAACTCCACTCCCAGCAAGCTTCAGCCTGGAATACCAGCCCCTCTTGATCTGCCTTGAAAGGCTGCTTGTACTAATGGCGTTTGGAGCCTTAGGAACCAGTCCCTGAAGCATCACGGAACTAAAACATAATCCATGGATAGAAAGGGCTTCTGGCCCACCACTTTATATTAGAACAAAAATAATCACGGTAATAGCTTGCATTCTCCTTGATACCTTTCATTCAATAATGTCAAGTAATTTGTACGCAAGTAATTAAGAAAACACTCCTTTGTGGTAAGTTACTAATTTAGCTCCCATTTGAAAGAGAGACAGAAAGAGCCTTAATGATTTTCTCCAGGGAACAGCAGAGCAGGGAGCAGAAGCAGTGGGTATGTGGTGATTTGTGGAGAAAGATCTCTCATGTTCGGCTCTAATCCCCAATATTGGGCTCACAAAATTGCTTCAGCGTGGGAGTTGGTCTCAAGTCTCTTGGGTGGTGTTGCTGCTGTTCTCCTCAAGAGCTGCCTGGTTTGGCCGTCTGTGGAGCCAGCTGCAGTTTTGTAGCTGTTGGTACAAATTTTTGCACTCTTTTTTCATTGTGTGATGTATAGCATTCCCCTCGCTGGTATTTCCACTCACCATGAGCTGCAGAACCATGGAATGAATTGGAATACTGTAATTTTCCCTCTTCATTGATTTGGGAGGAAGAGGAAGGCAATGGGGAAGGTGGAAATCTCCCAACCACAACACAACTCCATTTCTCCCTTCTCTTCCTATTCCTTATGCCTCAGCTCTCATCCCCAGAGAGCCAGCTCTAATACTGTGTGGCCTGGGTGACCAGGACACGGTTCCCTGGACTCCACCTGTGCATTCTTATCCCCTGTCTGCTTACGGACTCTGTGACTTGTTGGAGAGTAGTTTTAAATGAATGCCTGGGAGATGGTTCAGTGGATAATGTGTTTGTCATGTGGGCACAAAGACCTGAATCTGAATCCCCAGCAGTTACATAAAAAACAAGAGTGGCCGTGTGCCTGTACTCTTAATATTGGGGGGACAGTGGCAGCATGATACTTGGGGCTGGCTGATGAGCCACATTGTGAGCACCAGGTTCAGTAACAGATAAGTAGAAATCAATAAAGGAAGTCACCTGACATCAACCTCTGACCTCCATGTGCACATGAACACGTGTATGTGCATCCATACACACACATGCACACATATATGCACACACACATGCACACATACACACTAAAGACAAATTTTAGGTGATTGCTGGGAAATGACACTCAATAACAAGATAGCCTTCTTTGACAGTGATGTCATTATTTGTAATTATTCTTTTCATGTTGGAAGGCTGTGTATTCTGAGTCTGTTTTTATGAGATACGACATTCAATTTCTATCACATTCGTACGAAATTTAAGCTGACAAAGGAGGAAAGACACTTACTAAACTGTTTTTAAATGTATTTTTCACTCTTAGGAAGAGCAAGAACTTGGAGCATACTGGATGGAGGTATAAAATTTCTTTGTTATACAGGCAGATCTTAGAAAGGGAAGATAGAATTTATTGTTGCTATTAAAATAGTGGTCGGTGCTCTTGAAGGTAACTATGAGTTGTATTCTTAAATAACTTCAATAATTATGGCAGTAATTAGCACAGGTAGGCCTATAGGAAAGCATAAACATGGAAGTAGATAAATATACTGGCAACTACATCAATAAAGCAGTCTGCAAGCATAAACTGCTATATAAATGCTAATTAATTACATAAGTAGGCATACAGGATGGAACGGTTATTCATAGGACTGCAAAGATAAACAATTCACACAAACACAGCACACGCATTTGGGAGCAGGCTTCTCCACATCTCCCATCTGCAGCCTCCTGAGGTTCCAAGCAAACTGTCAGGAAGGCTGAAGGCTTCAACTTCTGCTATGCAGCCCAACAACCAGTAGCCACGTGCCTACCGAGCACTTCAAATGTTGCTAGTCCCAAATGAACGTGCTGAGTGCAAAGCGGACACCAGGTTATACATGCTTGGTTTTAGTATCTTAATAATACCTTGTATTGACTGAAAATGGAAATAACAATATTTTGGATATTTTTGTTAACAAAGTATGCTACTGAAACAGATTTTACCTATCTCTGTTTCAATGTAGCTACTGGTGCTGCTCAGAACTATTGAACCTAAGTTTGCTGAAGCAATAGAGGAAGTCTGAGACGAAGTGTGCCCCTCCCAGGCTGTCCTCTGCCACTGTACCCTATCTGCCTACGGACCTGTACAGTGGGATAAATCAAAGTTGCTCCATGCTCTGATGGACAGTGGTGAACGAAAGGATCAGGCAATCCCATTAGCTTGGGAAAAACAGCCTTTGATACCAGACACACTGAAATCAAGGGGTTCAAGCTTGCTAGGATAATTGGGGTACTTCTCTGCAAAGCTAAAGGAAATCAAACTACAAAGTCTCTGACCACTGGACATGCCAGCTAGTTATTTATGAGGGGAGAAGATGGTGTGGACAGAAAGAAGGCATGGGAGATAGGAGAACTTTGGGGTCAGTTTGCCTTCAGATTTATTCTACTTGCTGGTCACCTATGCGTCCAGAATGAAGAATATTTGCAAGAATTCATTCAGGTGGCAAGTTATTTGGTAACTTATTAGATGATAATACATAGATGAAAACTGCTACATTGTTTAGTATAAAATAAGTGACAACTGTGAGATCAACTCTAGTTGATAAGCATATTAGCATAACTCAAGTTAGGATATTTAGTCCTGTTTGAGCGAGTTCCTTAAAACACTTGAATTCTTATTTGCGTATTGTTTTCATAAACTCACTCAATAAGTCCAAAAGGCTGTAATATCAAGAAAGCAAGATTAGCTCCATTAAGTTAATTACTGCAGCACCCTACAACTGTGTGCAAATATAATATGCCAATGTCACTGTATTTGAAAATTATAACAGATTACCAGGCCATTCAGAACTGAATATACAGATTGCATAGAACCAGCAGCATGCATGCTCCTTTTCAAACCAGGGCTCCTATGGGGGCACTGAGCACAGAAGAGTCTTCTTGAAAGTCCTCCCTTTTCCCATGATGCTTATCTTCCAGAGCCCCTAATGTTCATCCAACTCAGCTTCACCCTAAGGAGACGTCGAAGACTTGAAGGAAATCAGTTCTCCAAGGTGATAAGGCACTCAAGGCTGGCCCATGACAAGAAAATATTCCTGCTCATGTCCCCTTTCACTATTGTTGATACAGGGGCTGAATGCAACTCCATATCATAGGACCAGCCACCAAAATATCACAAGTAGAGCTAGTAAACTACAGAATATAATCCCTCACCCTCCTTGGACCAGAGGAGTAACTTCCAAATAAGCCAGCTAGCTAACTTCAATGCCAGACAGCTTGTATTTCTCAGGGTGCCCAGAATGCAATGCAGAATGAGATACAAGCTCTGGAGGGATACATGCAGATGGTCTGTGGAAACCCAGGCAGAAGAGTGCCAGAGATGAGGCCTCTAACCTGTGGCCCAGCTGGGCCTCAGAGCCAGAATCTACAGGAGTTCTCCTCCTGCTCTGATTCCTAGCCCTGGGAATCTTTCCTGAACTGCAGCATGATCCAGTACAATGGACACACAACCCTACTTCCCTCCAATAATAACTATTACTCAGGACAAGGCAGAGATCTGGGTCTCAGGGAATAGCAAAGGAGCATGAGGGGCTCCTTTCTTTGGTTTGTTGAAGTCTTATCACTGCCCTAATATCTCCTCCATCACTTATACACACATACACACACATGTTTGCACACACACATATGCACACACACACACTTACATACACTTATATACACATTCATGCCATACACATATAGTCACATAAACTCATACACACATATACCCCATACACACACACAATCACATACAATCATATACACATTATATCCTATACATACAAACACATTCACATACACTCATATACACATATACCTCATACATAGACACACAGACAAAGACACACACACACACACACACACACACACACACACACACACACGCGTGGACAATGCTATGGATGCAGTCAGGAATCGCCCATGTGGCATAGTAATCACTCCCTTTTCTCTCATTTGTTTGTTTGTTTGTTTTGAATCACTAGAACTCTACTGATTTACATGTTGTTTTCATAAATTTGCATAGTGCATTCAAGAGGCTCTGTCTCTCCAGCAACCCTCACTGCCATGGAGATGTGGCTGCAAAGCATACAAAGAAAGCCTTTATTTCCGCAAACATTATTACAATGAAGCTTTTAAATGCTACAGAACATAGAAGGATTTTCTTTTAATTAAAGTACCAGTGTGAGAAATTTTTATAAAGCCATCCCATTCTAATTGCGGAAACTGGGCTGCTTGGAACCCTGAGAATGGGTGACCATGGGAGGCTCGAAGTGTCCTTCCCCAAGAATAGTTTTAAATGGTCTATCTGGGACAGTCTCTAGAAATCCTCTCATTCTCTGTCCTCAGAGCCTCTGGAATCCCACACTCCCGTACTTCACAAAGCCGAACTCCCATGGTCACACTGCCAGCCATGCTGGGGACCCCTGCCCATCTGGCTTGGCTCAGGACTCCTCCATCCATAAGTGAGGTTCAGCAAGCTGTGGGAAGTGTTCATGCACCTGTTTAGGTTTGCTTTGGGAACAAGGATGACACTGTGCATGACAGACCACCTGATTCTACTCAATCAGAAGAATTAAGAAAAAGACTTTTTCTCAGCCCCAACATGAATGTGATATTATGACTCATGCTGAAAATTAGATCGTATGTGCACAGCCCTAGTCGTCTCTTACATAATAGGCTTGACTGTGCGCAGTCCCTTCTTCCCTCCAACCAGAGTAGTCACCCATTTCCTTTGGCATGGTCTTTTTTTTTTTTTAACTCCTCAACCCCAAGACATTCACAGAAGATATAAAAGTGGGTGTTTTTCTAGCCACTGCACAAGAAATGGCCAAAAATGAATGGAAGGAACGAAAGCTTCCCCCGTGGGAAGCGCAGGGGGAGACTAAGAAGAAAAGAGAAGCCCAGAGAACAGCTTTCCTCTGAGCCTGGCTCTGTGAGCTGATGTGGCTTGGGTATCACAAGGTCTCTTTCTTTGCTATGAAGTGGCAAGTCCATGGGCTGAGAACAGGAGCCTCCTGGGGAAAACTTTAGATTTTGACTCATGTAAGCTGTGCCCCCTTGGCCAATTTGATGAGTTCTTAAAACTGAAATAAGACCACTGTAAGGTCCCTACTTCATGGAGTAATTGGATTAAACTATGTAATATCCTCTTCTCTGTTTGCTGTTTTGAGACAGGCCTTGCTATACAGCCCAGGCTAGCTTCAAACTCTTGATGCTCCTGCCTCAGTCTTCTCTCTCTCTCTCTCTCTCTCTCTCTCTCTCTCTCTCTCTCTCTCTCTCTCTCTCTCTCTGTGTGTGTGTGTATGTGTGTGCATATCAAGACTCTCACGTGGTGGTCAGGGGATAATCCCTAAGAGTCTTCATCCATTATGAGGGTTCCAGACATTGTACTCAGGTGGACAGGGTTGGAGGCAAGTGCCTTTACTCACTGAGTCATTTTGCTAACCCATTTACTAAATATTTTTGAGAGGAGTCCACATTGAACATTTTCCTCTCACAAGCTAACCTACAAACATTCCTGGATGTTCTGTGTTTTCAGTCTATATTATATAAACTGCAGCATGCAGACAAACCCACTGTCCTGTCTACTTCAGACCTCTTCAGTCCCAGTAACCCTCCGCTGTGGGTTGTTAAAATCCCATCAAGCTGTGGGTGAGGCCACTGTCTAAGAAAATGGAAGAGTAGATGGTAAGGCCTGGTGCAGTGGCACATGCCTTTAATCTCAGCCCTCAGGAGGCAGTCAAATCTCCACAAGTTTGAAGCTGGTCTATAACAGCATGTTAGTCTTTCTGAGGATGGCTGAATTTACTCAGTATGGCTACTTCCAATTGTACCCACTTTTCTACAAGACATACCATCATTCTTTACGGCTGATAAAAATTCCATTGTAATAATCACATATTCTTTATCCATTCTTTTGTTCTTGGGCACCTACATTGATTTCATAATCTATGTATTGTGAGTAGTGCTGCAATAAAGGTTGGTGTGCAACAGTCTGTGATTGGCTGACTTGGAAGGCTCCGGGTAACCAACCACCAGTGGTACAGTTGCAGAGCCTGAATTCTAAGCCTCTGCATTGGTCTTAACCGCTTACATTCTGGACTTTCTTCACTTGATACAATTCAGAAGTCTTACTGCCATCTAGATGGGAAGACAGAGTCTTCTTCCCACTTGCACTGGGCAAGGGGGCTCTTTGTGTGTTTTTAAGACTTTTTGATGGAGAGCTGAAAAATGTCTACAAGCTGAGGGCTGCCAGTCTTGCATCTGCTCGAAGTGAAACACATGTTGGACGTGGCTGGAAGGATCTTGGGTAGTCTACAAACCCACTTTCTGATTTTAAGCATGAGAAAAATCAGAGGAGTGAATGGATTTGTCCAAGGTCACAGAGTTTCATATCAAAAGCCAAAAGAGGAATCTAGATTCCCTGACTACTAGTCCAGTGTAAAGTGATAAAGATAATAGGTAGAGTACAGTGTCTGTAGAAAAATTTACCAGGCAAATGTCTTAAAGGCTGTACAGTGAACAATATAATTTATAAAAACTGTAATTATTTTATAGATGTCTGCACAACTATCAAGTTGAAATTAATTCTACAGTCTCAAGATTACGTAGTACTTGAATGGTGTGCCGTTACACACTGGAGTCTGGGCAGCCATTCCTAGCTCATGATTGCTTTTTCTCCTGTGGCAGAGCTCATAATAAGCAAGCAACTCATCCTTGCATTCCCAGCCACAGAGGAGTGCTATCCATAGAAATAGCTGAGCACTGAGATTATCCATCCCCACCAGAGGAGGCTACTTCCAGCAAGTAAATTTCTGGCCATCCTGAAGGACCCAGACAAGAAAGGCAGAGACAGTTAAACCTTCTGGACCCACCTAGGCCACTGTAATCTCAGCCCGACCAGCCAAGCCACTCTGTCAACTCAGGATGAAGGAGCGAGAGATCACATAGCAATACTGGAGAATGGAGTCCTGGACTTTACCCAGCCGCAGAACTGCTAACAGAACTCTGACTCTGGCCATTTTTCCCTCAAGTTTCCTTTTCCCAGATCCTCTTTCTGATCCACCATTTCTCTAGGAATTATAAGAGGTCAGTGGTCAGCAACCACAATGACAAATGCCACTACTTCATTGCCAGTAATAATCAAGAGTTGATCCTACCCTTCATAAGTCAAAAATATGTATATGAGGGTAAGAAGGAGGAGGAAGAGGAAGAAGGAGGAGGAAGAAGAGGAGAAGGAGGAAGAAGGAGAAGGAGGAGGAGGAAAAGGAAGAAGAAGGAGGAAGAGAAGGAGGAGGAGAAGGAGGAGGAGGGGGAGGAGGAAGAGGAGAAGGAAGAGGGGGAGGAGGAAGAGGAGGAGTAGAAACCAGAACAGCTACTAACCAGTCTCTCCTTCCCCAAGTCTGTATCATATTGCCATCCTGCACCCTTCCCCCCCATCAATTCATTCAGTTCATCTTTGAACCTCAGAAAAGAGAATCCTGGCCTCCCCAGCTCCTGACTTCACTATCTCCTTCTAATCTCAAAGGAGACTGGTCAATGCTCCATTAGAAAAAAAAAAAATCCCATCCCAGGCTGTGACACAAATGAAACCCTTTTCAGCAGGTGTAAGAAAGACACACAGAACCCACTGACACATTAGTCCAATTTGCTTCTGATCCCAGGCTCTAACCACGAGACCCCTAGTGCCTCAATTCTTGCTCTCTTTCTGAGGGCAAAGTCCCCAGTCCCTATTCCAGGAACTAGGTCCCCATTTTCATCCTCTTGTCTGGATCTCCTATGAGTTTTTAGCAGCCTTAATCACACTAAATAGCATTTGATTTCAGCATCTTCCTTTCTTCATCACCCAACATAAAATAAAAATGCTACATTGTAAAACAAAGTTCTGGATTGGTAAAATGCCTTCTGTCTTTCCATTTGTTAATAAATATGTGTGACCTGTGTCCTTGCTTTGCTGAGGCCCAGACTAGAGCCCAGCCTCACCAAATCCCACTCTCTCATGTGTAGTCTTATTTTTAAATGCCAGAAACAATGCCAAGCATTGTGACAGTGACAGCATGTGTCCCTTGTGACCACTGTCCTGTCACAGAGACCTGGCTACTCCTTACATCTGCTTTCCTTTTTGGTACACAGTTGTGAGAAGGTGGCCCCAGGAAAGGATCCCATTGTAAGGATCAACTGTAAGTGTGAGCAGCAGCAGCCACATAATTGGTCCTCCCTTATAGAGCATGTACAAGACTTCCATGTATCTTTCAGGTCAAATTTTAAAGAAACAGGGGCACATTTTCTGTGTTCTCTTCCCCCATCATCTGGATGTCTACGATGATGAATGAAGACAATAATGGATGAAGATGATGATGATGAGGTTTAAGGAATAGGGAGCCATAGATGGAGAGAGTCTTTGGTATCTAAGTCATCATGTGTATGAAACTTCCTGCTGAAGAGGAAGTCACTTTTCTCTAGGTTGTGAATGAAATGGGAGTGTCTATTGTGCCAGGACATTTGCTGTGGTGTAATGCTACCCTTACATTGTCCAAACTGTCCCTGTCACCTGCTCAGAAACTCCTCTTTGCTCTACTCCACAGTAATGGTGTCCCAGATGGTATATCACCTTTGTAAGCAAAGCAAATTTGTCCCCAAAGAGTGTTTGCCCTTGAGTAAATCACTTATAGATGCAGTTTATTTTAATATATAGTGTCAGTGCAATGGTACTAAACAGGAAACAAGATAAAGTACATAAAAGGCCTTTCAAAATGCCCACACGATAGACTCTGGGTTGGAAGAATCTCTCTTCCTGGTTCCAATGTGCTTTTTTCCAGGCTCATTCAGCACGTTTCCCCAGTCCTAGACCCCGGCCCTAGTATCCACTACTCAGCAGGTATCTTCTTCAGCCCCATAGCTTTTTCCAGCACTCAGCTGCAGTGGACTTTGTTCCCACACAGATCATAGCCAGTAGTGTGCGGAACACACACGTCTTCTTTCCACAGCCTCCTTCAGCTGGCTTCCGAGGGGAGTGCTGACATCCCCCCACTAAACCTCTCCAGACACTAGAGATATTATTTCCCAATGAGACTTATGGTCTAGGCACCCTATGCTGATCCCAGAGCCTCTAGTTTGTCTTTGCAGTGGTACCACAGCAATTAAAAAAAACAAAAAAAGAACATCCAATGGCCCCTGGGAGGTCTACATGTCATCTTTATAAGGAAGACTGTCCCTTCCTGGAGCACCTCACCTCAGCTCTAGGGACAGTCTTGGCTAGGTATATCTATTATTATCCAATAGTATATTGCTGTAATTGAATTTTTACCTTTAAAATTACTTTATGTTTTCTGCATTCTGATAGACTCAGATAGATAGGAAATTGGTTCTGGAAGCAATCCAAAGGGGCATGGTTTGGGGATTCATGTGGTCATGTTTTGGGAGTTTTAGTGCAGCATTGATCTCCTTTCCAAGGGAAATGGGATGCTAGCAAGCCATTTACAGTCAAGATAACACCTATAGCTGGTTGGGCTAGAGGGCCAATTGAAACAAATCAGATGCTGCTGTATTTGGCTATACAGATTGTGAAGGCTGTAGTATGGGATCACTTTCAGTATGCTTGAAGACCTACAGAAAGCAAACAAGCTCAGATTCTTCAAGTCCTAGCTAAAGCCTTCTCGACATTATCATTGTAGCCATAGGTCTAATAGTGCTGAAAGTCAGATAAACAGTCCCATTGCTCAGGTCACTGAGTTGTAGCATGAACTCAGCTCACTGAGTGTTTCCTACAAAGGTCCTGTCTTTCCTTTATCCTTGCTCGCTCCCCACCACGTACAGCGTGAACTACCAACAGATAATTTACCAGGTCCTGTTAGAAATATGATGTCTCAGAATTCCATGCTTCACCTTGTAATAATTTTTGAAAGAAATGATAGCAGAATCACTTCTTACTTTTATGCAGCTATGTAATTAAATACGGTGGGCAACTACATGCTTCCTGTTCTGATTCAGAAACCATCCACAGACACAGTGGTTCTGTGCACAAATGTTCTTCTTGCAGAGGTGACTAGCCCTTCTATGGGTCTCTCAGGGTTCAACATTATCTCCCTCTCTCAAGACCTGCCCTCACTCATGGGTCACTATATCTCTTCCTTCCAATGGGGACTGCTCCTTTTTCTGATCTCTAAAATATAACCAACTCCTGGTTCTTTTTCAGGATCAATGAGTATAAAGATTAACCATGGGGGAAAAAAAATCTATACTTAGTAGGTTCATGAAAAGACGGTAACAGTTTAAATTCACAAAACCACATTTTAGAAGAAGCCAACTATCCACAGAAGGTTCAGGGCTACTCCTAACCCCAGCCAGTTGTAAACCCATCATCTGCTGGATCTCCATCTTTCCATCTGAGGGAAAAAAGAAAGTTCAGCCATTGGAATTCTGGGAGTTCTTGTCTGTGATAAACTCGAATCTATGCTAATCTCTTTTTTTTTAACTGTTGTGGTAGCTGGGAGAGGTAGTATCTGGCTTAGCTTTCTCCAGTTTTGTGTTATGTAAAGAGAAAGAGGAAGCTACACCGTGAGAGGAAAATCTCACTCTTTCTTAGAGAATTCCAGGAGTTTTTGATTCAGTGCAGGGACGTTGAGAGTGTAGCCTTGCAAAGATTGAGGGGGAGCACATGAAGAATGGGTAAGAAAATCCACAGAAGGAGCTGACACTAAGAAGGTGGGTAATTTAACTTTAGAGCTCTGTGGCTTGACTGTGATGCATGTGACCTGGGGTGTGGGACACTGAGGAATGACAGCCTGATGAGGTGGCCTGACAGAGAAAAGCTGAGTGATTGCAGCAGGGTGGGGTAGAGGCTGCTAGCAAAAACACAATCACACTGGGGCTGCACTTTATCACCTAGACCATCTGCTGGACGGTTTAGAAAGCAGAGGACCATTTGCTAAGTGACAAGCTGATGTCACTTTATTCTAATGTTTAACAAAGGAAGAACTCCGCCAAGCAGCACACAATAACAACAGACTATTTTGTCACTTTACATCAAGCAATTTGTGTGATGTTTTGAGTCCCTTAAGTATTATCTTTGCATTATGTTTATACTTTGATAGCATCTGTAGAACAGGAAATGTGTCCCTTAATATTGGATGTCATTTTGAGGAAATTGTTTTTCATTAAACCTACTGTAGACACTGTTTTGCCTGGATTTGTTTTAGCTGCCACGGGGATTCTTTGTAAGTCTTTCCATCTCTCCTGTTCTTCCCTCTCATGCATGTTAACACAGACACCTGATGCACACAGGTTATCTCATGATGCTGGCCATGGCTTCGACATCACATTGAAGCTGGACCACGCGGAGCTCTAGACACACGGTCTACACATCTAAAAGCAGAAGTAAGTGCTTAGGAATCCCACAGCATGTCTTTATGTTTGTGTTAGAGAGCTATGTGCATACACTCATCTAGAGGGTGGTGCTTTAAGAGAAAATAGCTGCTTCTTAGTGCTCTGGTTGACATCTCTGTAGACTACACACACTGACACATACACAAATGATGTTTCCTTTTGGGGTGTGCTTTAGCTACACTTTCTCTACAAGTCACCATTGTCTTTGTTTCTGGGACATCTACATGTGATGTGCAACTCCAGATTTACAAGTGATTTGAGCATAAAAATGGTATTTTTTAAAAACTGTGTTTGTCGGGGCAGGTGCACATACCACAGAATAGGTGTAGATGTCCAAGAACAATTTAAAGGCATTAATTAGTTCTCTTCTTCCACCAGATTGGTTCTAGGAATCAAACTCAAGATTGTCAGCCATGGCAGCAAGCACCCTTATCTGCTGAGCCATCTTCTTGGCCTAAATTGATGTGTTTTCCTTCTAACCAAATGTTTGAGCTTGCCTTCTCCTTCACTCCCCTTTGTTTCTAAAAATTTGGATTTATAGTTATTGGTACAATTGTTAGCTCACGTGGAGACTAACATAATTGACAAGCTGCTGCAGAAAGCTGTTCAAACCTTTGGGCTACATTTTGGCTTTGGGGGCCCCTGACCTTTGTGCTGCCCTTTGGGAGAGGTTGGCTCTGAGCAACACTGAACCTGAATGCCATAGCCAACAGCACCACCATGACATATGAAGATGTCAGGATGAGCCTAGAAAGAAATCCTGTGACAAGGGGAAATTGCCAGTTACAGACACAGGATACAGACAAGTCAACTCCCACGTAGTACAGATCCCTCAAATGGAAAATCCCTGCAAAGGTCATTCATCTTCAAGATACCCTGTCCTGAGCTGCTAAGAGAACAGTTCCTGGGACACGGGAGCTGTTGATTGGTGAACACTCCAGATCCTTGGCATAAGTGACCTACTGGCATAAATGTTTCTGATGGATTTGTGAAAAGCCTGCTTTTTCGTGATAGCCCTTCTACAACTTAACCAACACCTTATACCTTTTTGCCTTAAGCCTTCTACAACCTAGCCAAGCCAGGACCACAACAGGCTGTGAACAGAGGTGCTAGTATTTCCCATGTTCTACCAACTGTTCATGAGACTGTGAGTCCCTTGAGTTCAAAACTGTGTCTTCCTTGTGTTCAGACAGTACTTGTAGTAGCTGCTGTACAGTAGATTCTCTAGAAGTATTTGTACAAGTTAATGTCAAGTCACTGTGCAAGAATTACCTACCTGGGTGTTGTGGCTAGTAATTATGCTGGAAGCTTTGATTTTTGTGGCAACAAAACATTTATCATGTCAATTTCAATTCAGCTAGTGTTTGTTATTTTGAAATGTACCATCTTGGGCCTTGGGTTAAAACGTGACTAAATTCTTCTCCAGTCCTAAAGGCTACCCTCATGTAAAGAATACATCAATGTGCCACACCAAATCCAAGAACCAATTTGCATTAAGCAATGAGACAAGATAACAGCAAGAGTGGGGAGAAAAGAGGAGGGCGCCAAGCTTCTGAGGCTCTGCAAACCCATTCCAAGCTGCCAGATCCCAGAAACCGACTGGCACAGAGAGAAGGTCTGTTTGGTTCTTCCGAGGGCTGGACAACCTTCCCTGGAGCACAGTGCTTGGCTATGAGACATGCTGGAGGAGGGAGGTTTCCGGGTTTCTCTGCTTATGAAAATCTCACTACAGAAGCGACATCCTGGACAGCAGGGAGCAAGGAATGGTTGATAGTAAGAAGAAATGCTCTTCCCTAATCCCTGTAGTCGCTATCCCTGACAGTATGAATTGCAGGGCTGTCATCTGCCAGACTAAGTCTCCATGAATCACAGATGATTTTAATGAGGATCTCTATGAAAGCTCCCGTGCAGTTTGCCAAGATATAATCCTCACCCTGATAATAGCAATTAGCCATAAATGTTCTCTCTCGTTCCTTTAAAAAAATTGTGTTTGAAACTGATGTGTGTTTTACACATTAGCTGTCTTCTGCTTTAGAAGGAGAGAAGGAAGGGAGGCAGGGAGGGAGGGAGAGAGGAGAGAGACAGAGAGACAGAGGTAGGTGTGAGTGATCTGTATGTTCATCTCACGTTCCCACTGACTCTTGAGAGTTTCTTCCAGCCAAAGTAGCCTCGATGGGATGGTGGATGGACACACTTCCTGTTTCCCCTCTCTTAACAGGTGGCCAAAGATACATTTGAATGCATTAAACCAAAGCCAGCAAGTCTAGTTCCCCTACAGGCCCCGCCCTCCCACAGACTTCTCTTCCCTTAGTTCTGAGCACTGCGAACCTTCCTGCCAGCCAGGACCAACATGGTATGCCAGAGAGTTCCCTGTTAATCTGTCCCATAGAGCTGACTGGACATCCTGGAAAGCCAGTGCACTCCAGAAGCAGCCCTTGACTGCCAACAGGGAATGGTGTATAAATACCCAGCTTCTTAGCTCCTTATGTGGGATAGCTGATTATAACCTATTGGACTTCCCAGGTGGTGATGGTAAGTGGTTTGGTGTTAAGCCAAGATTGGTCACCTTCCTCTACTTCCCCAATAAATTACTTATGCTCAGATCCCGAGTCCGGATATGATTCTGGGGTCTCAATCTAACATGGATTCTAACAAAAACAAAAGCAGCCTCCATGGTCAAGGTTGTTGAACTTCATGACATCCTACTGTACCCGAGGATGGAAATCAAAAAATTCCAAACACACATACACAAAAAAAAACCTGTCATAGTTTCCAGAAGATATGTGACTCTCTCTTCCCCCCTCTCATGCACACACACACACTCAAACAAACAAATAAACAAACAAACAAAAACCACGAGGACCAGCACAATCTCCTATTTCTGCCCACTGGGTTGGCCTCTTGACAACAACCACTCTGTCACCCGGGCTGGTCTGGAAACAAACCTGGCATCCTGCTCCACCCCCATGCTTTTGCTCTTTCTGTTCCATACCTGAACTTTCCTTTCCATGTGTCAGCGTGGTTTCCTCTCATCTCTTTCCCAAGGGCTTGGTTTCAATGTTTCTTACTGAGACCTTCCTAGACCACCTGGATAAAATCGTCACCATCTCACCAGACCCGGCACATCCCCATCCCTGAGCATTACTTTGGTTTTCTCCATCCTGTGGATCACTGTTCGGCATGGCCTATTCCTGGTGGGTTCCGAGAATATTTTCAGCTATGTTGTGGCTGACCTTTCAAGACTTCCCTCCAAGTCTTCACTAACTTGACATTATTTTTCCTTTAGAGTTTTATTCATTAAACAAGTAGATTGATACAGGAAACAATACTTGGAGGTTGTTGCTCTGAGAGGCTTTCAGAGTAAAGCTTAGACTCCAGAAGAACTTTTAATTCTTGTTCTCCAGGTCAGTATCTCATTCCTTTACTAACATGAAGCTTTGAGCAAGTCACGGATCCTCACTTTCTGCATCTGTAAAATGGAGACACTTGTGTCCACACTTCTGGATTTTGGAAAGATTATACAACGAAGTGGAAGACCTACACTTAACCAGTGGGTGTGTGACAGGCACTCAGTGGTAGCTTTTAGAGTGATTGTCCAGAGCCATTTTGCAAAGGTGGTTCTGGCCCTGGAAGGTATAATGCCTCTTGGAGATTATCATGAGACTCATCAAAAAGTCGGAATCTCTTCCCAAATCTTACCCTGGACAAGTATGTCTGGGCATTTGTTTACTTTCTAAAGCATTATCAGCCCACTTAGGACAAGGAGAATGATACAAAACAGGGCAGTCTGAACTTAAACTGTAATGAAGACCTGCCAGCCACTGGGTCTCTCACCAGAGGAGGCTCAAGAGGGCTGGAACAGTCAGAGATGGTACAAGTAAGGCTTGATTTGGGTCTAAAACATGGACCAGACTTTTCAAGGTCAAATAAACCCAAGGTAGATGGGCAGACAGCAAATGACACAGGTAATTCTCAATCTGGACCAATGGGACCAAGGGGAACACTGAGGGTCAGACAAAGGAGCAGGTGTGACCAACCTGAAAATGAGGGGAGGTCAAGTGGCATTAGAATAATGTCAATCATTAAGCTAGAAGGGGCATAAGAGTCATTATACCAAAGAATTCCTGTATTTACAAGCACCAAACCCCCTAGTTTTGCCATTTTTCCCAAATCCACTCCTTATTCCTCCCCACTCCAAATGCCATGTTTTAAAGCAATGGTTTTTATTCATTGTTGAAAAGAACTTTTATACCTTTCACAACAGCCCTTTGTGGTTCTTTGAAGCAGGGATTTTCTAGGCTATTTTCTGACCCTTCAGAGTTCCTGTGGCTTTATGTCAAGAATGTTCTGGGAGCTCCATACCCTCATTGGTCAATATTCTTGCTGGAATGTGACCTTCAGCTATAGTAAAGCTTCCAAGAGATACCCTCTTTGAAGCTCCTTAACCTCATTGGTCATCATTCTTTCCCACGTTTTCGTTGCCTTCATGATTTTAAAATATTCTAAAGCTTTATCTTGGATCCCCTTTCTTGGGCTTCGATCTTCTAGACCCATCTATCTCTGCCCATTTTGCAGTGATACCTGCCTTCTGCCAGGATTGCTCAGATGCTTGTGGGAATAGGACAATGAGTCACTAAGTCTCATGCCTGTAAAAGGGAAGTATGGCATAGCTAGAGTTTTCCTGCCTGGCCCACAGTCAGGACAAATCTTTGTCACCGGCCAGTCCCATAGCCTCTCAGACCCAACCAAGTAAACACAGAGACTTACATTGCTTACAAACTGTATGGCCATGGCAGGCTTCTTGCTAACTGTTCTTATAGCTTAAATTAATTCATTTCCATAAATCTATACCTTGCCACATGGCTCATGGCTTACCGGCATCTTCACATGCTGTTTCTCATTGTGGCGGCTGGCAGTGTCTCTCTCTGCCTTCCTGTTCTTTCTTTTCTCCTCTCTGTTAGTCCCACCTATACTTCCTGCCTAGCCACTGGCCAATCAGTGTTTTATTTATTGACCAATCAGAGCAACACATTTGCCATACAGAACATCCCACAGCAGTATGGCTTGCTCCTCACCTGACTGCTGGGTCCACCAGCCCAACCACATTCTTGATAATAGCATTCACTCTCACAACTAGATCTCCGGCATGAATCTCAAATGTGACATGGGCCACCCATCCAACTTCTGCCAGTCCCCTAAACATTATATTGGTGGCACTGGGCAAAAGGAACTATATTCATCTGTCTCCATATTTTGACTCATTGGAACCACTGAATTGTCTGGTGAGGCTTCTGATAAACATAAGATACTCAGTGCTTTTTGTATGATGTATTTGTAACCCCAAATGAAAAACTTAGAGAGACAAACCCATGCCTTCCTGAACCTGTGGTCCTTGAAAAAGAAAAAAGAATGATACAGCTTGTATTTCTCCAGCATCCTAACTGGTCCCTGATTGAGAAATAGTGATTCAGGTCAACCTCCCTATTTTTGTGAAGGAAAGAGTGAGGAGCAGATTTATCAAGCACTAGGAGAGTTAGCAACAAGCCAGAAGCTGCAATGCATATGAACAGGACTCCTGGGTCCTAGATGGCTTGACCATATGAATGGGAGGAGAAAAGCCAGATAGGAGAATTACTGTGGTAATGGTGAGAGACTGGACTGAGTTAAGCATTGAAACCAAACAAGTGTCTGAAGGGAGTGTGCACTGCAGTGACAGCATAAAGAGGAGTATGTATAATCAAACACATAAATTAAAACATCACCAAAGGGCTATGGGTTGCATAGACAACCAAATGAAAGGCTGGAAAAATCACAGGGACCTGTGTGCAGATCACAGGAACTAAGCGTTGGTTTCTTCAAGACCTTGTTACCAAGTTGACTCCAGGCCCCCTTCGCATACTGTACTCCTGAGGTATGTAGGGCTCTGATTCTGGTTCCAGCCAGAGAACCTGAAGCAATGATGGGAGGCCAGGAAGCTCTGAGTCTTCTCATTCTACAAAAAGTTGGGGTTTTGTTATTATTGATAATTACCTGTCTCTCAGTGAACCTAGGCATGTTAGGTTAAGTTTTCTCAGAAGGAGAGAGGAAGATGTGAGTGCAACTGATATTTGGGATGTGATCTAGTAGGAGTGAAGTAAGCCAGGGAAGACAGATGTTTGAGGCAGGTGTGGTCATGAGCAGATTATCATTGTGGGCAACAGCTCTGCTGTTATCTCCCTTGTTCTGGGACCTCTAAGACATAGGGGGAGAACTTACCTGAAAGTTGGCTTATTGAAGGGCAAGGAAACGGGGGTATTTATTCATCAACTTTTCTCTGCCATTGGTGAGAACTATTGCTAGGAGTATTAACTTCTGGCCTGTGTAACACGTATCTTAAAAATTCTTATTAATAAAATCAAACCTGAAGCCAGGTATCGTGGTGAATGCTGGAAGATCAGAGAAGCAGAACCAGCCACAGCCACCTTACCTTGCCAATTCCTCAGCTGATCCTGTTTCCTCAAACTGGAAGCTTCTGAGTCCTCATCCAAATGGATCTGAGCTGAACTGCTGCTCAAAAGCCTAAAAGCTTAACCAGACTCTAGTTCTGATTTTCACGCCTTATATATCTTTCTGCTTTCTGCCATCACTTCCTGGGATTAAAGGTGTGAGTCACCATGCCTGGCTGTTTCCAGTGTGGCTTTGAACTTACAGAGATCCGAATGGATCTCTGCCTCCCAAGTGATAGGATTAAATGTGTGCCACCATTTTCTGGCCTCTATGTCTATCTAGTGGCTGTTCTGTCCTCTGACCCCAGATAAGTTTATTAGGATGCACAATATATTGGGGGACACAATATATCACCACAGGTCTGTTCCACATGGGCTTGAGTTTGAGCATGCTTCCAACTCATGAATGCTCTGTGTTAAGATTTAGGAGCTGTAGAAGACAGCACCAAAGAGGGTAGCGAATATCATCAGGGCAATGAGAGGGGGTCTTCAGGGCATCCACTGCTCCTCATGGACTTTTCTCATTCTCATCTTGCAGTCACAATAAGGGTCCCTCATTGGAGTCTCAAAAGGAGAAACTCTACACACTACAGAGCTCAGAAACCACGGGCCTGCAAGTTCCCATCCCACCCATTGCAACTATGTTCCCACTCAATTTGAAGGGTTTTTTGTTTGTTTGTGGCTTCTTGCTTTTCCCTCCTGAATCTAGTGCTTCCTTTCCTAATAGCATTTTAATACTGCTTTCCCCAGATAGCCACGGTTCTCCCCTTTGCTAGAACACGGGAGGGAATTGGAGTGAGTGTTACAACTTAAGTTAGAGGCATGCAAGTGATGGTAGGAAATCCCACTGGAAGAAATACCACTGGCTCAGAAGAAAAACTCAGTTTTTAGGCGAACTGATACTCGTTTTAGCGAGCCAGTAGCAGCAAAAGAAGTTCCCCTGTTCTGTTTTTGTAGTCAATCTATTTGGATGATCTCAAGGGGCACCTTGCCTCTGCTCTGTGAATCTCAAACCAGGAGGAAATGTGGTGATGGTGGCTATGCAGCACCATGAGGGGGGCTTGTGTAAGATCATGTCTATGTCACAGCCCGACCAGGGCCTCGCTGCTAATGCACTGGTTATTTACTTCAGGTTGCCCATTGGCTCACTTGTTTGACTCCACCACCCAGGCCCCAACTCGCTCCTCTGGAAGTAGCTACCATAGCTCTCATTTAATCACAGATCTTGGTTGTGGGATGACTCATCCCTAACAGGCTTGAGGGGCCAGCCGGCCCAAACCAGTAAAAAAGATACTTTCTAAGAGCCAACCTGGGTCTGCCTAAGAGCCTTAGCAACAGCAGCTGAGACATGATCTGGAGATGACCTGGACCAATGAGAGGCAGCCATGTCACACCAACAGATGCATATTCATCAGACCTTCCCCCAGAGTGGGGTGGAGGATATATAAGGCTTGCCTCTTCCTGAATAAACTGAGCTTGTTGTTTCCACATTCTCCCAGAGTCCGTGTCATTGACTCTGTGCCTACTTGGCCCCCTCCCCCAAAGGGAACAATGGCACAGGACCCTGCCACACTTGGTAAAGATGTAGATGCTTCCTTGCATATTCCAAATGAATTGGCTATTACTATCTAATCACAGCATTGCATATGCTCTGTCTACTTATTAACTCACATACATTGGGGAAGATGGCGGCCCCAGAGTTATCTCCCTTTCCACCAACCTCCCTTCCCTCATCTAGGTAAGTGTGGTCTTTGACATCCAATTTAGTCCCTGATCTGTGAGTGAAAGCAGCAAAACATAATAAAATCAGCTACAGCATCCATTTATTCCACATTCTAGCAACAGGTGAAACAACACCCCTGAATATATCAGATTCTTCTGGAAAGGTCTATCAAAACACAGATTGCTCCAAACACCAAGTTCCAGATATGAGGCAGGTGATACTTGATTTCCTAGCTAGTTCCTTGGAGATGATAATGACATTGGTCAACAGATGTCTTAGCTAAAAAAGCACAGACCACAGTGTTACATTTCTTCTTGGGAGGACTGCAGTTTTGTCAGGGTCAGAAAAGAAACAAAAGAACTCACATCTCAAGTACTCTGATTCTTTGTTTCCAGATGTAACACTGCTTTCACTATATTCTTGAGTAACTATCAGCAGTATTTGAGTGATTCACCTAATGCCCATGTTTACTAACACTTGCTACTGGTTACCCATCAGAACCACAATATCCAGCATTTCTGTCCTGTGATGATCTCTAGCCAAGGCTGACTGCAAAAGATGAATTGGCAAAAACCTGAGGCCACTTGTGTGTTTAACCCCTGATATCTTTGCTACTATTCTAGTAATATTGTAATTCCCTAAATCATAGAAATGCAGTTTTAATTGAGAACAACAACAACAAAAAGCATTGGACCTCATCCACAATCTTCCCCAGTTACCTGAGAAGAGAATACCAAGTATTTAATGGTTTCTAGTTGAGTTCTTAGATTAATTATGCAAAGGCATAATTACAATGAGATATAATTCTGACTATTTTAAAGGCAGCTCTCCCTTAGCCACAATTTCTGTCCTCCTGGTCTCTCAAGTACAGCTAACACAATTAACCAGGCACCAATTGCCGCTCCCCACAGCTATTTCAATCCTTGTCTGGCTTCATCTGCTGTTGGAGAGCTTGTCAAGCAATCTTATCTGAATTTGAGTTCCCCTGTCTTCACTTACACCCCTTCAGGGAGAAATTGAATTTTTTCTGGAGCAGGTTTGTTGGTTCTTTAGAAAGATACAGGTAAGGCAGAGGCAATTGAACATTTATCCCTGAACTTTAAAGGGACCATAGATTGGAAAAGAAAATATATCTTTTAATCCCTCTACAGCTATTCTTCCTTTTAATAAATAACTGACATTTGAGAGAAACCATTATTGAACATGCCTCCTGAGCCCCTTTGTAATTGTTACAAAGAACTTCTCAGAAGACGAGTCCCATTGTGAGTATTTAAGAAGAAGTCATATTTAGTCAAAATAGACAATTGTGTTTATGTCTTCCTGAGATTTGCTCGCCAAAAGTGAGAACAACACAAAGCTGAAATGCGTTTGTGCCAGCACCACAGGCTCTTACAGACTTCAAGCACTCGGGTCACCATCCGCGTTGTGGGGAAGGTGTCAACGGGTGGCATGTGCCAATGTGTAGGAGAGCAGGTGATGAAGTCTGGGGGTCTCAACACCCACCTCTACCAAATCCAGTTAGTTGGTATCAAGAGAAAAATTCTGCCAGTAACAAAGCTAACTAAAAAACTAAATAAGCAAGTACAGGGGAAAGAAACATGAGTGATCCCAAAAGCTATACAAACCTACCTCAAGGAAACAGTAAAAGTCTTGATGCAAAACCACAATTCTCACCTCAAAAAAAAAAAAAAAAAGAGAGAGATCATTTATTGTGAAGCCATATATGAGTGACCATGGCCCAGGAACACAGATTTGGGTCACTCTAAATTCCATGATCCAGCTTAGATGGAGTCTCGTGAAGTTTTCATAGTGATCAAAGTCACAAATCAAGACACTTTTCAAATACATTGCAGGAAACGGGTAGGTAGTTAAAGCAAAGTGAGGAAATCTCTACTATAGGCATCGGATGCTATAACAGGTGACATTTTTAGCTTTTTGGTTGACAGGAACCCATGTTTTGTTAAGTTAATATGTTACAAATGGATTTAACTGTTATTTATAGAATGCTAAGTAGACATAGAGGTAGACAAAAACCACACACACACACACACACACACACACACACACACACACACACACACACAGAGTATAGCGACGCATGACTACAGCCTTAGGGTCAAGAGGATTACAAGTTCAAGGCCAGCCTGTGCTGTGGAATAAGAGTTTGGATTTAAAAATAATCACAACAACAACAAAAGCTATTTTAAAATGCAAAAAAGTGATTTTACAGAAGTGGCTGAGAGAATCTGAAAATGGAGGACAGGCTTGTCTAACCCCAAACCTGTTAGTGATGGTATAACCACCAAGACCATAGGCAGACACAGACAGAAGGATGGACTATTACAGAGAGCTCTACACAAGACCAATAAATTAAAATGTTAACAATGGTGTGAGAATTTTTAATTTAAAAAAATTATAAAGTTTTCTTCAAACTACATCAGAATAAATTTCAGTTATGATACCATTAAGAAGAAATATATGTGACTATCATCTGATAAAATGGGGGCTTTCGTTATTACATAGAAAAATAGAAATTGTTGGCTGGAAAGATGGCTCAGGGTCAATAGCACATACCGCTCTTGCAGAGGACCGGAGTTCAGTTTTCATCATCCACATCAGGCTGCTGAGAACCTCCTATAACTCCAGCTCCAGGAGATCTCATGCCTTCTTCTGGTTTCCAAGGGTAGTTGCACAAACATGGCATACACCAAGAGACACACACACACACACACATAAATAAAAACTTAAAGTTATTCCTCACTCCCAAGCCATGGTACCTAAGATTCAGCTTTGTTTTAGAATAAGGCATCAAGGCCAAGAACCCACGAGTGTCTTGTTAAAATGAAAATCCTCAGGAGTTACAGGTGCAGCATGTGACAATACCACCTATGAATACATGAAGTATTTGAACTTTGATCCTCAAACAGCAACTGCTCTATGAGCCTCCCCCTCCCTGAGATCATTCCTGACTACTCCAACATCGATCAACTAAAGGGTGGTGCTTGCCACAGAAAGGGCCCTCCAGATGTGAGGCTTCACCATCTCTTTTCTGATTTATCAGTGTCTGAACTGACAGAAATACAACATAAGGGATCAGGAAGAGGCATGAGAAGGGGATCTGTGGTTGGTATATAAAATGAATTTTTAAAAATTTAAATAATAAAAAAATAAATACAACATAAAGAGTCACCACAAACTAGACTGTTGTCAAAGTTTGGTTGTTATAGGAACAGCCATGTTGAAAAAACAGGGGCCTTTGAGCATGAGGGAAGGCTGATACACTTTGATGGGAACAAAGAGATAGAGCAGGTCTCTGCTGACGACCAAGAGTCACTTGTCACTGAAAAGACAACCTGGCAGCTTCCAAGCTCCAGGGGAAGCCAGCGGCAAACTGAAAGGATGGAAAAATGGCCTGCAGAAGAATTCTGAGATGAGCCACCTCTAGGTTCCACCAATGGCTAAGCAGATAGCTGGGCTGATCTTTAATTTTACCTCCAGTAAATAAAAGTGGCACTATGTTGAGAGGTCAGTCTTCCATGAGGATGGAATGAAACAGAGACCACATAGAGGTAGGATTGCTGTTGGTCTGGGCAGCAAACTCCTGCCCTCAATTTGTTAGGGAGGAGAAAAGGGAACGGAAGATCAGAATTGGGCGTGAGAAACATTAAATGTGTGACTTGCTTTGTACGAGCTAGGTTTGCACAAGGAAAACTGCCCCCCCCAAATACAATTAGCACCCCACTGAGTAGCACCAAGGTGGATGCTCCATGCTGTTCGGCCTTTTTGAATCTTGAGAGGTGGAGTTTGATAGCTTGTTGTTGTTGCTGCTAAAGTGGAAGACAAGCATATCTTTAATACACAATAATAGAGTTTGAGAAGTTGGGGTTTTAAGTCATAGCACTTTTTTTTAGACTTTCTTTGGTGTTAAAAGAAAAAGGCTCTAATAATGACATTTTGTGCCAAGAGTCATTAGAACAAAGTACCCGCCTGAAGCAAAATGTTATAGCCGAGTTATGAACCTGCAAACAGAACCTTAACCACCATGATAGGAGCTGACTGCAGTAATAAAAAATGAATTTGTTAAATAAAATATGTTTATAATTCACTGGGCTCGGAATCAGGGAGGTGGAAAGAAACCTCTGGTGAGTCATTATGATTTTGCAAAATAGTCAAAAGAGCAGTTCACTCTGCAGGCAGGTGGAGGGGCCAGTGCCCTATTGTCGTTATTACAGTGTGTGATTTCATTTATTCATGGGGTGCCAGGGATAGGTGGCCCTTTTGTGCTACTAAAACACGGTGAACAAAAGCAAGGGAGTGAAATGAAATCCTGGCCTTAAAGAGACTGTGATAGAAATGTATCAGCCGGTCCAGTTTGGCTGATGACAGGAAATATCGGAAGAACATTAATGCAATGAGCTTTTCCAGATCCTGGTGGGTTTAAGCAATGATTTTGAAGGGAGAAAGGAAAGGAAAGATATAGATTCACTTGGAAGTTTTTCAAGGCAGCATGAAAAGCATAAGCCTACCCAGAAAGTAAGACTCTCACTGGAGTGTAAAGATGAGAGACAATAAAACAAAGAACTAAGGCTGAATGTAGCGGAGCATAGAATTCAGAAGCTCTTTTGCTATGGGAAAAAAATGTGTAGAACCTAATGTAGAAAAAAAATAGTCTAGCCTTCCCAAAAATAATTGGTCCATGTAATATGTAATTAATTAATAAATAAGAATCATTATTTCCAAACAGGCTTAGCTATTTCTACTTTCAGCATGGTAGTAACACCAAAGCAGGCATGAAAGGAAAGTGGGAAATTATGTGCCAACTCACTGAACCTCTCGTCCCTTTATATATTGAATCCTTACTTCCCACCACCTCAGAATGGAAAGAAAGCCGTCAAAGAGGCGAGTTAGTAAAGATGAAGCCCTTAAGTGGGTCCTGGGGTGAACTTGGGAGAAAAGGAGGTTAGATCATGCTGAGGCACCAGGAGAGAAGTCTGTGCCAGGACACAGCAAGGATGCTCAGCTAAATGCCAAGGAGAGAGCCTTGGCAGAGACCAACCCTGCGGACACCTTGATCTTTCTGAGGCAATAAAATACATTTCTGGTTTCCAAGCTCCCCAGAATGTGTTATGGCACCCGACTGAGGGAGAAGAAGATAAGAGAAAGCAAGGGGCCAGGGAAGGCTCACGGGGGACTTAGAAATGACACCGAAGCCGAGTTTTATGCCTGTGATGGCTAATCTTGGTGGTCACCTTGACTGCATCTGGAATCAACTAAAGCCCAAGCTGCCAGGCACTCCTGCAAGGGATTTTCTTGATCAGACTTTTTGAAGGAGGGAGACCCAAGCTAAACGTGATAGTTCCTTCTAGTGGCAGCCTGGATAAAAGGACAGAGAAGGAAGGTTTGCTTGTAGCCTGCTCGCTCTTGCTCTGACAAATTCATTATTCTGTTGCTGCAGCATTCCTTCACCAGTATTCGAAGCAGCTTCTTCAGGATTCCAGTATAGACCAAGACCAGCAGCTGTCCAGGAACCCTCCAACCTCCAGCACCAGATTGGAACTACTCAGATATCCAGCCTAGGGGGACTGAGCAACTACTAGTTTCCTGGCCTCTCCAGTGTGGAACAGCTATTACTGGACTACCCATACTGTTGTGGGATCATCTTTTTGTACACTGTGAAGATGTGTCACTCTGGTTGGTTTAATTAAGAGCTGAATGGCCAATAGCTAGGTAGGATTCCCTGGCAGAGAGGATGCTGGGAAGAAGGCAGAGTCTCCAGCCAGAGGTGGAATAACCAGGATGGGCATAATGGAGATGAGGTAACAAGTGTGTGGAAGAACAGATATTTAAAAATATGGGTTAATTTAAGTTATAAGAGCTAGCTAAAAACAAGCCTAAGCTAAGGCTGATCTTTCATAATAGTAAGGCTCCGTGTCACTTTTTTGTGAGCTTGTGGCCCAAAGAAAAATCCATTTACACCATGCCACGTCTTGTAAGCCAATCTAAATCATTAAATATATCGTCTAGACTTAACCAGGAAGATTGGCAGCTCCTCCCCCTCTCCATCTACCCCCATGGTCCTGTGGTAACTAGAGCAGTCCTTCTGGCTGCCAGTGTTGTAGTTTTCTGTCTGGCACTGTGATAAAATATTCTGATGAAACAACATAGGGAGAAAGCATTTGCTTGGCTCGCTCTTCCAGGTCACAGTCCATGACTTCTGTATTCAGACATCGTTATTTCAGTCTCCCAAGGAGGGCTGTCCTCACCTTTCCATCAACCCCTCTTGGTGCTGCCCTTCTGTATGGAGCACTCCCCCACCCTGCCTTGCACCTTACTCTTTCTATGCTAAGTTTTTACCACCTTTCTGGCCATTAGATTCCCTTTTAAAGGTCACTCTTGTGACTTGGCTCTGAATTAGTGGCTGAATGTCCCCCATCGAGTGCTCATCATATATTGGACTTGAGATTCTTCTAGTCAATATGCTGTACAAAGACAAAACCCAGGTTTGTCTCATGCTTTGTAAATATAAATTGAGGCATTATTATTAAATGTATTATGGAAAGGTTACATTTGCACTGCTTCAGATTTCACCAGATGCTCATTCACCTGACTAGTCTATTGTTTCCATGTAGTGGAGTGATAAATACAAGTAGAATAAATGAGAAAATGAGTGTCTTGGTCAGTGTTATGCTGTGAAGAGACACCATGACTACAGCAACCCTTCTAAAGGAAAACATTTAATTGGGGTTTGCTTACAGTTTCAGAGGTTTAGTCCATTATCAGCATGGTGGGAAACATGGCAGCATGCAGGTAGATATGGTGCTACAGGAGCTGAGAGTTCTACATCTGGATCTACAAGCAGCAGGAAGGAAGGAGACACTGGGACTTGCTTGAGCATTTGAAATCTCAAAACCCACCCACAGTGACACACTTCCTCCAACAAGGCCACACTTACTCCAACAAGGCCACACCTCCTAATCCCTATCAAGTAGCATCACTCCCTAATGATGGGGGTCATTCCTGTTCAAACCACCACATTCCACTCCCTGGCCACCACAGGCTTGTAGCCATAACATAATGTAAAAATACATTCAGTCCAACTTCAAAAGTCCCCATTCATAATTTATCACAGTCTCAACACTGTTTAAAAGTCTAAAGTTCAAAGTCTCTTTGGAGATTCATGGCACTCTCTTAACTGTAACCTCCTGCAAAATCAAAACCAAAAAGCAGATCACATACTTCCAACACACAATAGTACAGAATATATATTACCATTCCCAAAAGGAGAATAGTAAGGAAATACTGGAACAAAGCAAGACCTAAAACCAGGAGGGCTCCAAATTCTGCATCTCCTGTCTGATGTCAAAGCAGTCTTCAGGTCTCCAACTCCTTTCAGCTTTGTTGACTGCAACACACTTCTCTCTCAGGCTGGTTCTACACCTGGTCTGCAGCTCCCCTCAGCAGGTACCCAATGGCTCTGGCATCTCCAATATCTTGGGGTCTCCAAGGCAATCCAGGCTTTACCTTCACAGCTTCATGAAAAGGCCCCTTTGGGCTTCTATACAGGGACACCTCAGGGGCTTTCCCTAGTTAGGTCACAGAGGAAGAGTCCGTAACCCTTTTCTTGTATCCTTGACTCTAAAACAAGAACCATGTGGCCAATACTGCCAAGT